AAAAGTGCTTATAAAATGACGCGAGCTGTCACAGAGAGCATTCATCAAGCCTGTCCAAGAATTCCTAAGTCATTTGTTGGTTTTCAGAAATGACTAGCGTGATCCTTCGTTTGCTATGATCTCACTAGTTAAATAACGCGCTTTTGGAGCTACGATCTGACTGAAGGAAATAAAACAAACTGTTCCAGTAACTACCCTGTCAAATCAGCAGCCACTTGTAGACTCAACACAGAGCCTTTCTCTTGGTAACAATATTGCTTTGAGTAATGAATGGTCTCTTAGCTTGAATGAAGAGCGGCAGTATGCAAACATTCTCTGCTTCTTACAGCATCATCTGAGGTGCTCACGCAGCTGACGCCTTTCAGGCTCCATCAAGGGAATCCTCTGTGAAGGGCCATATGTAACGAGGTCGCGCCCAGTCCCTCCGGAGGTCACAGCAGGGCAGCCACCACTGCACCTTCTGGGCCACATTCCTGGGTATTGACCTGGCTCAGCTGAGCTCCGCTCCTGGGGTCCTGGGGATGGCAGCAAGGTGGAGACTGGGGGCTGACAGGGTCTGGACATGGGGTTGTCAGTGACCTTGATAAGAGTGGCTACAGGGCTGGGAATGAAAGGCACACAGCGCAGGTTCAACAGAGACCATGGAAATTCTTTGTTTCTTATGAATACATCTTTTATTGACTATGTGTATTGAGAATATCTTCTTCCAGTTTTTTGGTTACCTTCCCAATGTGTTTTTCTAAATCCTCACCCGAGGACATGCTCACTGATTTTAGAGAGAGGGGAGGAAGGGAGAAAAAGGGAGAGAAAGTCGATCAGTTGCCACCTGTACACACCCTAACAGGGGAACGGACCCGCAACTCAGGGGTGTGCCCTGACCAGGAATCAAGCCCTCAACCCTTTGGTTTACAGGATGACACTCCAACCAACGGAGCCACACAGGACAGGGCAACAAATGTGTTTTGATGAACTAAAGTTCTTCATTTTAATGAAGTTCCATGGAAAAAATCTTTTATTCCACAGACAGTGCTTCTTTATTACCTTTTAATCCTATCCCGAGTCTTAAAGACATTTACCTATTTTTTTTCCCCTAGAAGCTTTGTGGCTGTACCTTCACGTGTAAGTTTTGTGTATGGTGTGAGGTTTGGGTTGATCATATTTTCTTTTCATATGAATGTACAATTCATACGATCCAGAATCACTTCTTGTAAAACAATCCTTTCCCCCACTGAATTTTTGTTGAAACTTTGTTGTAAATCAGGTTAACTTACATGTATTTATAAGTCAGTTTCTGGACTTTCTATTCAGTTCCATTGATCTTTTGGTCTGTCTTTGTACCACACTCTCTGGGTTTGTCTGCCTTCTTGCTGCCATTTAATGGTAAACAAGCTTTGCCTTCCTAGAATAAACCCAACATGGTTTTGACTTATTATCCTATTAATGTATTGCTGAATGCACCAGAGGAGTTGCAGTCAGTTTGCTGATATTTTGTATGAAACTTTTGCATCTATGTTTTTGAGAGAAAATGCGCTTTGGTAGAATTTATCAATTTTATGCCATTTGAGACTGGGGTTTTCTTCGTGAGATGGTTTTTCCTGATAGAGTTGATTCCTTAAGTAGAGATAGGGGGCCCTGGCTGGTGTAGCTCAGGGGATTGAGCTCAGGCCTGCAAACCAAAGGGTTGCTGGTTTGATTGCCAGTGAGGGCACAGGCCCGGGTTGGGGAGCAGGTCCCCAGTAGGTGATGTGCAAGACACAACCACACATTGATATTTCTCGCCCTCTCTCCTTTCCTTCCCCTATGTATAAAAATAAAAATAAATTTAAAAAATTTAAAATAGAGGTAGGATTGTTCAGAGGTTCTATTTCTTCCTATATACCTTTTGATAACTTGTGTTTTCCTAGGAATTTATTTGCCTCTTCAACATTTTCAAATTTTTCGGCCTGGCGTTATTGGCAATGTGTGTGGTGGTTAGTGCTGCGCCTGTCACTTCAGAAATGCTGGGGTCCTCTCTGGAAAGCATTATGCTGAGTGAAATAGGCCAGGTATTGAAGGACAAATACCATATGATCTCACCTTTGACAGGAAGCTAAAGAATAAAACAAACAAGCAAACAGAATAAAAACAAAGACACTGAAATAGAGAACAAGTGGGCAGCGACCAGAGGGGAGAGGGAAGGGAACTTAAGGGGAAAAAGGGGGAGGGATTTTTGAGGAACAAGTATGAAAGACACAGAGATGAGGACTGGGGGGGGGGATGGGAGGGAGGGGGGAGACCGGGCGGGGGGGGGGTGGGATGGGAGAAATAGATTAAAAAAAAAATGTACTTGAAAAGTAACTAAATAAAATTTAATATTTAAAAAAAAAAAAAAGAAATGCTGGGGTCCTCGCTCCCTCTGACCCTCTTGTTGTTTGGCCTGGAGGGCTAAACAAACCTTTTTCTGATGCACAGTCTTCCTTAGATATGTTAATGCCTTCAATCAGGCTTTGGTGCTAAATCCTGGCCCAGAGCCTCTCAATCCCTTTCCAGATTTATTAACTCTGTTCGAATTGTATTTCCCTGTTTTTCCTCCTAGGGTCTGCCTCACATCACCTGAACACGGCTGAACCACTTTCCAGAAACACCCCCATGTCCCCTCTGCCCGGCAGCAGGAGACCGAGTCCACTCACCAAGCCCTCCTGGCACTGATCACTCCAGGGGACCAGAGTCAGCTGCCCCCAAATGGCCTCTGGGCAGAGCAGAAAGCCTCTTTGCTGGGACACCTCTCTGAGTCTCACAGGCTAAGAAGACATGTCTCCCAAGGAGTCGGCCTTGGCTCTCGATGCTCAATGGCTGAAGAAATCTGACTCAATTCTGTGTAACCCCATGTCCAAAGTCTCAAATCAAGATATGTCTCTTATTTAATTTAAAATGCTTTGCATATACATACAAATCTTACAAAGTCACTTATCCATTCAACAAATAGTTACTGATTACACCCTAGGTGCTAAGCACTGTTCTGGGTCCTGGGTATATAGCAATTAAAAAAAAAGACAAAAATCCCTGATGTTCTGGGGCCCTTCTAGGTCAACGCACAAACTCCTAGTTAGCCAGATGCTCAGTGCTGCCCCCTCTAATGATTCAACAGCTAAAATCAGGGCTGGGGTAGACAACAAAAGGCTTGTGGTCAGCGTTCCTAGGACGGTCCTTGGTGCTTTGAAGGTGGGTGAGGCTTCCTGGAAAGTCTGCTGTCTCGCAGAGCCTGGTAAAGACACTGGGGATCCAGGTGATGAAAAGCACTTATCCAGTGTCATGACCGAATAGTCAGGCTGGCTTCTCCGTGGGACTGGGGCCTCTCGAAGGCAGGGCTCTGCCCTGTTTATCCCTCACTTCCCACTTGCGGGCACACTGCCTGGCATATAGTGGGCGTTTAATGGCTTTGTGAAATTAATGGGTTGATAAGTGAATAGGGAATGAATGAATACAGAGCCCCTCCCTTAGTGATCTTATCTAATGTCCTTAAATACCATCTTGACAGACATAACTCCAGTCCCAAATCTGACCCCCATATCCAATGGCCTTCTCATCCTACCTGGCAGTCCTCTAGATACCCCTAACGTAATACGTTCAAAGTCAAATTTTTGATTCCTCCTTTCCCCCACTCCCAAACCGCTCTACCCGCAGTCTGCCCCTGCTCAGTCAGTGGCAACCTCACCCTTCCAGTGGTCCAGGGCAGAAATCTTGAAGTCATCCTCGACTCCTTTCTTTCTCTTACAGCCCATTTCTTGTCCTTCAAAATATCCTTATGGCTTTACCTTCAAAATCTGTACTTCCAGATTCTGTCTACTTACCACTGCCTCAACTACTTTTACTGGACTCAAGCTACCATTCTAACTGGTTTGTGTTATTATGAGAGCCTCCTGACTTGTCTCCCAGATTCTGCCTTTGCCTCCGGCAGTCTCTTCTCCCCACAACAGCCAGACTCATCTGTTAAACATACATCAGATGATGTAACTCTCCCAGTGGCTCCCCGATTTCTCCAAGTCAAAGTCTATAAAACATACTGTGCCCTACCATGTTTTCTGCTCTCCCTCCGGTTCACTGTTCCCACCATTCCCTGACATTGCTGATCTTTAAATGACATGGCATGAGGCTCAGGACTCAGGAACTTAGTTCCTACTGATCCTGCTGCCTGAAATGATGTCCCCAACATGACTCTGGCTTTCTTGCCTCAAAGGTCACCTTCTTAGTGAGACTTTTCTTGACTCCTCTCCATTAAAAATGGAGACCACTCTATAGCTCCCCTTCTCCTCTCCTGTGTTTCTGCTTGGCACTAATCACCTTTATTACACCATATGTTTCCTTATTTATTTGTATCTCTCCCCACCAGAATACAACCTCCTTAACGAATAAATAAAGACTTTTTATTTACTCAGGGACTTTTGTTTACTTCGTTCACTGCTAAAACAGCTCCACTTAAGGAATAAATCAGAGAATGCACCTGCCCAGTGAAAGAACAAGAAAAGCTAAATTTGTGGGCACTTCTGTGAGGCTCAATGAAAAGGGGCTCCCCGGTAACAGCTAACTTTTACAGAAGAGGGAACTAAGGCACAAGGAAGGGGAAAGGCCGTGATTAGAATACCAGGTTTAACCCCGCAATCTGCATTCTTTCCCTGGAAACTCGAGCCCCCGTGTGTTATTAAAAACCGGTACAGAGTAGAGAGCTCCCCGCAGCCTGAATCCCAGAGCGGGTCTGGGAACTAACGGCAGTCACAATAGAGCGTGATTGGATCAGCTCCGAGTTGGGCACCGCCCAGCTCCTTACCGGTGTCTAGTTACCTTGACCTAGAAAGGGATGCTGTCTGGGGGGCGGGGGGGGGGGGGGATGCAGGATTTGCGAGCTTCGCCGCCGGAGCGAGCGGAGGTACCCCGGCGGCCGCACGCGCCCGGAATCCAAAGTCAGGGTCTCGGGTTCCGCCCGGAAGGCTGCTCTCGGAGCTCCCGGAAGCTGCCCTCGCTGCCTGGGTAACGGGCCCCAGCGGCATCAACGGAGGCAGCGTCGTAATGGACTTAGAGGAGGCGGTGAGCGGGCGTTTTGGGGAAAGAGAAGGGAATTTCTGGTCGGATGAGGTTGTGGGTGAAGGGAAGCTGGGGTGATAGTCCCTCTGGGTGTGCTTTAGGAGGAGGGTGGAGTTGTGGATTTTTGGGGGTGTGCACGCATGTGGCTCATCCTGTCTGGACGGGAGCACCCCCCAGTTCCCTTTGATGCTGGGGTGGACGAAGGAGGGCCGGGCTTGGAACCAGAGTGTCCCCAAGTAACCCCTGCCGGTCTTTCTGGGAGTCCAAACTGGGGTTGGAGACACTCCAAGTAATGCTAGTTATCTATCTATATGGCGTTGATGAAAACTGGACCAACTTGCCAAAATAAATTTGGCGTTCATTGTTGACAGACCACATAAAATGCCGCACTCTTTGATGGTATTAAAGTATTCTGTAATTAGATCAACGGTAATGTCAAACACCAGAGTCAGGCACCAGTAACTTAGTGAGTCTAGGTGTATATGCAAAGTGCTGGGTAATGAGAAGGCTTACTCATTGGAGATGCCCAATAGATGGTGAGTGATACACAGGTAACGTCCGTGACATTGGCCATTGTAACTCCCCATTAGCCTGTTCCTGCCCTGAGTAGGAATCCTGTTTTGCTCACCATTGAATCCTCATCACCTAGTCAAATGCCAGTACATAGTTGATACTCTGTTTTGCCGAATGAATAAATCAGAACTTGAAACAACGCTAATAAAAACTTGGCTTCTTTGTGGTGAGTCCATGTTTTTAGTGTCTGGGAGGAAGTTTCCCATGGCATGCTATTTTTGTTTTTTAAGTCTTCTCCATACTTAAATCTTACCTCTTTTCATCACAGCCTTTTCAAGGAGTTTTATTTACTCATCTTTTTTTCCATTTCACCCCTACCACCGTTTCATTATTTGCCCTCACACATTGCATATTTTAGAAACTTTTGTTTAATAGGTTAATTTCATTTCAAACTGCTCAAGAAACTCAATTGCTATTCTCCCCATTTATAGATAATCTCATATACTTTCTATTTTCTGTGATTTTTAACACATTTATGGGGTGAAACTGCAGGTGACCGTCAGTGGAACTGCAGGGCTGGTTTAGGCACAGTGGACTAACTGGCTTCCCTCTTCTCCTGCAGAGAGAGTTCCGAGAGCGCTGCACTCAGTGCGCTGCTGTGTCCTGGGGTCTGACCGACGAAGGCAGATATTACTGTACTTCTTGCCACAATGTTACAGAAGTAAGTAACAGGTCTCATCTGTGAACTTGCTTATGTCTTTAACATGGTGCTTTCAGCCAGATATGTGGTGAAGAATTGATGTATTTTTATCAGTCTTGCAATGCCCAAATTCCAAGAATGTAAGTGGTCTTCGAGGGCTTAAGAGGTGAAGGAATTTGTAAATTAAAGTGAGGATGAGCTCTTGAAATTATGTTGGGTCATACATACAAATGATTTCCTGATTCAGACTGTATAGTTTAAGAGGAAATAATTAAAATTGTGCTTAGAGGATGATGCATTTCATTTCATTAGTTAATATTCAAGAGTTTTTAATGTGTTGTGGTAGCTCCGTGATTTGGAAGGTGAAACGTTAGAAAGATTGAGGGCTGCTAGGAAGTTTGGAAATATGCCTTATTGTTATTTTATCTTTGCACAATACCTTACAGTTGCCAAATGTTTTCTGGTCGTTGTGTGATTTTCTCCTCACAACAAGCTGTGCAGTAAGCTGTTATGCCGATCTGTAGATTGGGTGCGCAGGGCCCTCCAGGTGAGACAGTTTGCCAAAGACACACCAGTGTAAAGTATTGGGTCAGGACTTGAACCTGAGTTTTCCGACGCCAGTGTTCATGTCGCCCCAGCACACCTGCCTTTAAACTAGATCGTCATAGTGTCCTGGGTGGCCTTGACGAATGAGGCTCCCTTCGCTCTGGGAATGCTGGGTCTTGCTCTGGTTACGCATGGGCAGGGCAGCATGACCGAACGAATCAAGGGCGGACGGCCTGCTACTGGACGGTTGGCAGAGGCCGGACTCTTCTCCCTGCAAAAGGAATTGCTCCAAGTCTGCAGAGCTGGGGAGGAACAGACACTGCCTTCGCCACGTTGGCGTGAGGAAGGCACATTGGGGACAGATAAAAGTAGCATCAACTTGTGCTTCTGGCCACAGTGGAGGATGAGGAACCAGATTTACCCTCCTGTCCTAAACAAGGGAAAACTTGGGAAAAATATATGAACTTAAAAAAAAATTCCTCTGAAAAAAGGAGTTAGTTTAGCTTGCAGCAGAGTCACACAAGACCTTTCCCGGAGACAGCCCTTGTTCTTCCACCCTTGGCGGAAGTTCTTATGTCTCCTTCCCTTAGTCACACAGAGCATCTGAAAGATAAGTGCTTCTCTGATGCTGGCTGGGGCGATGGAAAGTTCATGATCTCGATTACGATGATGGTTTTGGACACCCCCCAAGTGGCATACTTCACAGGCACGTGTCGTTTGCTCCCCTGCAGTTCACTCGCCGCTGCGCCTGCACGTGCAGCGCAGACATGAACACAGTGAAGAAGGGCCCAGTGTCTACGCAGACTGTTTGCCATTAGCGGATGAAGTCAGCACGCTGTTTTTATAGAAGTTAAACTATTAACTAATTGCTTCTTCTACTTCTGTCTTTGATAACATTTTCATGTGTTTCTGTCCGATAAAATCTGCTATCGTCATTTTTTTTAAAAGATTTTATTTATTCATTTAGGGAGAGGGGGAGGGAGGGAGACACCGATGCACAAGAGACACATCAGTTGGTTGCCTCCTGAACGCCCCCAGCAGGGGTCCAGCCTGCAACCCAGGCATGTGCCCTGACCAGTGACCCCTGGTTCACAGGCTGGCACTCCATCCACTGAGCCACTCCAGCCAGCGGCCTTTTTTTAACTTGAAAGATCTTAATATAACTCCCAGTTCCACGTGTGAAAGATTATCAACCTGAATGGAATAACTTATCAAGAATGTAGCATCCTAGCCCTGGCTGGCGTAGCTCAGTGGATTGAGCACAGGCCTGCATAGCAAAGGATCGTGGTTCGATTCCCAGTCAGGGCACATTCCTGGGTTGCAGGCCAGCTCCCAGCAGGGGACACATGAAAGGCAACCATACACTGATATTTCTCTCTTTCCTTCCCTTCCCCTCTAAAGATAAGTAAGTAAAATCTTTAAAAAAATGTAGCATCCTTTTTTTAAAAAAGATATTTTTATTGTGTTCGCTTCGGCAGCACATACGCTAAAATTGGAACGATACAGAGATTTTATCATGGCTCCTGAGCAAGGATGGCAGGCGAATTTGTGAAGTGTTAAAAAAAAAAAGATATTTTTATTTATTTTGAAAGAGAGGGAAAGGAGGGCGAAAAAGAGAGAAACATCAGTGTGAGACAGAAACAGCAATTGGTTGCCTTCAGTGTATGCCCCAACTGGGGATTGAACCTGCAACCCAGGCATGTGCTCTGGCTGGGAATCAAACCAGCAAACTTCCAGTTTGTGGGACAGTGTTCCAGCCAACTGAGCCACACCGGCCAGGGCAGGAATGTAGCATTACCGAAAGAGAGCGACGTATTTATAAGGCCTAGAACTCAACTCAGTGCCTCCCACGGTAGACGAGGTGTGTGCGGTCCACCTTCAGTGGTTTCTCCTGGCCGTCCAGGCACGGTGTCACGGAGAGCATGCTGTGACAGTGTGGTGCTGGAGGGGAGGAGTGGGGACCCAGGGGGTGGCAGCAGCTGATGAGAAGGCCCTTACCCCTACAAAGAGCAGGCATCTTGGTACAGCTTCCCTGCCTTCCCGTCCCTTTCACTGCCCTTGTTTGACTCTGAATTTCATCCTCAAGCCCTAGACGCTGCGCACGCTGGGAAAGGCCTTCTGAATGGCTTCCGGCCTGAGAAGGTTCTCACCGTGCCTTCTGTACAAACAAACGTTTTCAGACCTTAAAGCTGGCCAGTTTGTATAACAGATATTCTTGCAAGTGTTCTGTGCGTTTTTAATAAGGGTGTAGGCTGGAACTGTGAGTTTAATAGATTCTTATAAGAGCAAATTTATTGCATAAAATTTGGAAGTTATGAAGATGAAAGCTAAAATCACCAATAATCTCAACCCACAACCTTTTGGTGCTTCCATTTAGTATCTCTCTCCTTTTTTTAATGTATGAGAGGGGAAAGGGGATGTCAGTGAGTGTTATTGAATCTTCTGTCTTAATAAATTAGGATGTTCCTTCTGAACATTTGTGGGCATTTTAATTGACTGTATAATAGTCCACAATATAACCAGCCATTCAGTAATTTAATTATAACTCCAGTTTGAACATTTAGTTATTTTTATACCTTTTAGTTTTATCTAGTCCAGATTTTAAGCCCTTCCCCCTGCCCACTCTTTAGAAGTTTGACCTGTCTCGGCCGGGTCACTGCTGTGGTGTGTATTCCAACACGTTTCATGCTCTTACCGTGGCCCACCCAGCCCGTCGGAACTGCTGTAGGCGTGGCGTCTGCGACTGGAGGGAGCACGTTTCAAAACTCCAGTTGTTCGAGGCAGTTCATTCATCCTTCATGAACATCGAAGATCCACTCATTCTGCATCTCTGAATTTAGAGAAATACGTAAATGTCCCCTGTCGGTGGGGTCCCCTGGTGGTGTCCGTCTGCAGTGACTGCGCGGAGTTCAGATCCTGCAAACCCAGGGTCATAAAAACATTAAAAAGAAGTGCAGTTCTTGTGAGGTCAAGTGGATTGAGCGTTCGCAAAACAGCTGGTAAAGGGCTTAAGGTGGGTAATTCATTTGAATTTGAAAACGTGGAGGAGCGAGCCCGTCAGACACCAGCTGTCGGCTGTGGAATCAACTGTTGCTGCAGTGAAGAGAGTTGAAGGGGTGAAACAAACTCCAAGCTAAATTTGTAATGAACAAGGTGAAGGGAAGTACATAACTACAGAAAGTTCAGGATGTGAAAGACGGTGAGCAGGACCTTCACCTCATCCTGGCCCTAGTGCATACAAAGGAAAGCAGCCGGAAGACACAGTGGTACAGAAACCGCAGCGGAGCGTGGACGGGGGCCCGGCTTCTGCCGGTCTGACCGGCGGTAACCGTCTCTGTGAGAACGTCGGTAGGGTCTCCTTTAGCCCTGGCAGGTTTCTCTCCCTCTCTTCCTCCCTCCTCTCCCCCTCTCTAAAAAGGAACATATAAAATCTTTTTTTAAATCTCCTTTAGAGATTTAGAACATCTGAATTACTGATTTTTTACATAGGGTGATTCAAGTGAAAAAGTTTTTAAAAAGACATCTCTTCTGCATTCCTCTTTGCAGAACATCAGATATTATGGCTGTGAGATCACACCTCTGTGTTGAACCTCCCATAAACTGTGAACATTCTGTAAATACAGAAGAGAACCGTGGGTGTGCGGGGGCCGTGCCACTTGGATGATGGCACCGGGCAGCATGTATGTGATCACTGATGACAAGATTCCATGGCTAGTGATACATCAAATACAGTTTTCTTTGCAGTAAAAACATTCCCTTATTAACATTATGGAAAGGGGGGCACAACAAGGAGTCAACAATCTGAATGAGATTCGCATCAGGTACTGATATCTTTTGATGTGATTTCAGTGTTTTTTGTCTTGGCTCATTAACACCTTGGAAGCACGGAAGGCCTCATATTTGAAGCCTGGTTCTCTCGGGCCATGTTCAGCTGCTCACTGTTCAGACAAGCGGTGGTGGACGCCGGTGGGGTCAGAGCTGGGCACGCTGTTCCTGAAATGGCCCTCTGCTCTGAGTCTCCACTTGGGAGGTGATTCTAGCTTGACATTGCACAGTTTAGAAGAGGGATCCAATGCCTTTAAATTTTTTTGTGTGGTTTTCTTTTAAAAAGCTAATTGCTTTTGGGAAGTCAAATTTATGAGTAACTGTCTATATATTATTTGCACATAAAGTCATTTCTACAATTAAATGCCAACATATTTAAAGGTACTAAACAAAGGTGTGAAGTAGTGATTACTTGGAAGAAAATAACTTCACCTGCAAGTACTACTGAAGTGCAAAATATATTTAAAGAAAAATATATACTTAGTTGTGTTTCTGTGTTTTTACATCATTTACGAGCATGTTAAGAGTATAAAGAAGCTCAATTTTTAGGACAGACTTTAGAATAAATTACAAATTATTAGGGTCATATAATTATATAGTAATGCCTAAATTTTTACTTCAATATTAGTAAAAAAGTGGGAAGGTCACCAAACCAGATGTTAGAAAATCTAAATTCCAGTGTGTTTTGCCTTTGTGTTCTTATTTATGAACTATGACTCCTCTGTAAATATTATTGGTATAACAATAAGGGGAAGTATATATGCAGTCAAAGACATTCATAAAATTTTTTAAAAGATTTTATTTATTTATTTTTAGAGAGAGGAGAAGGGAGTGAGAAAGAGAGGGAGAGAAATATCAATGTGTGGTTGCCTTTCATGTGTCCCCTACTAGGGACCTGGCCTGGAACCCAGGTGTGTGCCTTGACTGGGAATCAAACTGGTGACCCTTTGATTCGCAACCTGTACTCAATCCACTGAGCTAAAGCAGGGCTATAAAATTTTTTTAAAAGACTTTGTGTGTGTGTGTGTGTGTCTGGGACACCAGAATCTTAGGCACCAGCTCCTGAGAGCACTTGGAATTGAAGACTTTGGGGTGAATTTTATTCACCATTTAGTCTTTCCAAAATTCTATAAATGTAATTATAAGTAAAAAATAGTAGTTTTATAATTTCATAAATAAAAGTGTTTAGCGTATTATTCAAATACAAAAAAGTAGAATGTCTAGTTTAGGCATTGCTGATTATAAAAAATACAGAAATTATCTTAATCCAAAGTGCGTTTTGAGTACAGAAAAAAGTGACTATAATTTGACTAAGTTTTATCTGAAACAACTAAAAAGTGATTTGAAATGAAAGTTTATTCATTTGACAGACATTTATTTAGTGTTTACTATATTCTGGGTACTGCTTTAGGTACTCAGTAATTTTAAATGAGAAAATAACAAAGATTTATATAATTTCCCCCAAATGTTACCATTATTGGCCCTGGTACTCACAATTTGATTCACTAAACTTGCAGAACAGGCTCGGAAATGTCTCCAGGGAGATGGAAAGCTGTCTTTTCAGTGACATGTTTCTGGTCCCCACAGAGATCTAAGGAAGTTTTAAGCACTGAGGCCATTCCCAACACCAAGATACAAGCCATCAACCGGGGCCTTAAAAGGAAAAAGAAACCGGGTGAGCTCTTTCTCCGTGCGCGCTTAGCATTCCTCAGTCGTGGTTTTCACCTTCCTGATCTGAGGGTGTGGATGAAATATTAAACAGATTCTATAGAAGTTGCCAGAATTTTAACCAGGTAATATGAAGTGGAATTAAAGCGGGTAATTATTGATTGTAAAATTGGAAGCAAATGTCTTAAAGCTTGTCCTTTTTACTGTGCATATTTTCAAGTTGCTTTTCCGGTGGGACAACCATTACGCAAAAAAATAATGATAACAAAAGGAGCATATCTCTTTTCATCCGTTGGCATGTATTTTTCTGTTCTATATTTATCGTCTATTATGAATATGATTTTCTGTCCCTTAAAGGAAAATGCTTATTTTCTGAAATGATTCAGCTGGAATTGTCAGGTTAGGCAAGTTAAACCTGACATTCCACTTTGAGAGACCTGTTTCTCACCATGAACTGTGAACACACCCTTTTAAAACAGGGGTGATTATTTCCCCTTAAAATAGCTTCAGTGTGGGTGTGCTTTCACAGGTGCGTACAGGCAGCTCACCATCCCTGAGAAGAATCTGAGGTCAGGTCTCTCTGATGCCCTTTATTTCTGTGACTTATTACCTAGGACCAGATCCCCAGGTTGAAACAGGGCTGGTGGTATTGGCTGCTTCTGCACAAGGGGCTTTAAAGACACACACACCCGAAATAAATGTGCACAGATGCTAACGAACCGTCTGTGTGACCCACACTGACACACTCGGGTGAAAGACAGAGAGAACGCCTGAATGCTAACTTCTGTTCCTTTTTAACCTTTCACAGCAACTATTTTTATTAGACTGAAAGTCGATTAATTTTAATTAAATTTCATCAGGGTAGGGCCTGCTTAACCTGGACTTGACCCATGTGAATAATTAAAATGTATAGCTGAAATGTAAATTGCTGCAGGAAATTTAGGTGCTTCCTACGAGACTCCACGTGTCTTACATTTGACCTCTTTGCCCTTAGTGTCTTCATTGGTAAAGCGAACACGGTGATCCCATTTGTTCTGTGAAATAGGAACCCAGACTCTGAAGTTAGCATAGGAAGAACAGTGCAGGAGGGAGAGAGTGCGCGCGCGTGTGTACACACACACACACACACACACACACACACACACACACACAGAGACAAAAGGTGAAACTCCCTCAACTTCACCTTGAGGGGCACATCACAATCACAGGCTTCCTCTGCCCTCCTCTGCGCGTCACGGGCAGCCTAAGGCGCTGTCCGAACACTGGCTTCGTCGGCCAGAGAGGAGGCCTGGGACGCTCCGCGGGGAAGGGGCGCCTCGGGGACACAGAAACACTTGCGAAGCTGTGTGTGAGAAGGCTGTAACCTCTCCAAAGAGCACAGCCTTGGTCCTGCAGAGAGGGGGGAGACAGAAGGGTCCTCACAGATTCTAGCATGTTCCTCAACAGGCGGTTGTGTTGAAATCTTGAGCTCCTGTCTGTCGTAGTGGCAGGTTCCTTCCCAGTCTCCTGCGCATTTAGTTCTGAGGATTGACCGACACGGCCTGTTTATGCGCCTCGCACATGTAACTATGGGGCGCGTTCTCGAAACATTTCCTTTTTTAAACGTGGTGACCGTTCATTTTCCTGTCTTTTACATTAACAATTTAGAAAAATTATAGGTAATTTAAAATATGAAATCTGATTAATTATAAAAATGTTTCTCTTTTTAAAAAAGATTTTATTTATTTATTTTTAGAGGGGAAGGGAGGGAGAGAGGGAGAGAAACATCAATGTGTGGTTGCCTCTCATGAGTCCCCTGCTGGGAACTGGCCTGTAACCTAGGCATGTGCCCTGACTAGGAATCGAACCACAATCTTCTGGTTCACAGGCCCGCGCCCAATCCACCGAGCTACACCAGCCAGGATAATGTTTGTCTTTAGCATTTGTGTACAGATTTGCCACATTGGAAGCACGAGAATGTAAAAAAGGGAATCCTGTTCAGAGATAGGAAAAATCGCAGCTGCGATGTGGAAGGCACGCCTGTTGCTGCTCAGCAGCGTGCAGCGGGAAGGGCAGGAGTGCGAGGGCTGACGCGTGTTCTTCCTCCTCTAGAGAGAGGCTGGGACTGGTATGTGTGCGAAGGCTTCCAGCACATCCTTTGCCAACAAGCGGAGGCCTTACAAATGCTTGGAGTGAGCCCAGAGTTAAAGGTGAGCCCGCTTGTGTCTAGGTGTCAGCCTTATGCCTTGTTGTTCGGAGAACAGCAGGATTGAAACGGAGGAGAAGGGTAGAGGCATCCGCAGTAACACTAGGGCTGCTGGAAGAATCACGTCTCTGATGCTTTTGCTTTAATCCTTTCATTAGACCAGCTAGTCCCGAAGTGCATTCTACAGGATGTAAGTAAGCAGCGTATGTAAGAGAAAATAAAAAGCGTCCTAGTCATCAGATGTGCATGAGACATCGGCTGAAACAAAGTAAAACGAGCCACGTGGCGCCTTGCTGGGCCCTCTCCGTGTGAGGCGTGTGCTTAGTTTCCACGGGGCCCATGTGTGGAGTCATGACTGGGGGAGGGAGCCCTTCAGTGGGTGCAGCAGCTCTGGGACTTGAGTTCCAGAATGTGATTTGGGGAGCGATACATTAGAATGGTGGTTCTCACACTTGACTTTGCATCAGAATCACATGCCGGGCTGTGAAAGCCCGGCGGGCTGGGCCCTGTCCCAGAGTTCTGGTTCCGTGGGCCTGGAGTGGGGCCCAAGGATTTGCACGTCCGGCAGGTTCCCAGGTGACCCTCCTCCTGCTGGTCCACACTTGGATTCCGTGCCCCTCAGGAGTGTCCCTGCTATTATTTGAGTTCCTTACTCCCTCCTCTGGTCGAAGTCACCTCAGGAACCCGGTGAAGGGCAGCTGTTTGGCAGTGGCGATGGTCGTGCCCTTGCTTCACGCCCATCACTGGAACCCAGTGCTAAGAGACCCAGCCTAGGCGGAGAGAAGGCTTTAGGCACTGGGCATGCAAAATGCAAAGTCTGGAATGGCGTGTTTAGAAGTGACATAGGGGCAAAAGAGACGGGGGGAAGGGTCAGTGTGGCCTGACGTCCCCAAGGAAAGATGTGCGGAGGAGCCTTTGCTGGCCAAGCTGAAGCAGGGTGACCTCTAGACCCGGGCGTGGCTGAAGCCAGTGCTGGGCGTGGTGCGGTATAGTACATAGGGATTGAAAACTCGAAACATGCCCACCAGAGGCAGACGCGTGCTAGAGCATTCAGAGCTTCCCACTAAGGAAGGAGGGTGCAAGTGCGCGCAGATGGGGGGCACTGTGTGCGGCACCAGGGGTCCTGTGGCCGAGATGTGCCACGTGCTTGTCCTCACAGCCTGAACCTCCTCTCTTGCCCTTCCCCCACAGAGTCCAGTTCTGCATAATCTCTGGAGGCGCTACCTTCAGAAGAGCAAGCTGGCGTACTGCAGGAACCCGGTTTACGCCAGCAGAAGGGCAGCCGAGGTGAGTCCCGTCGGGGAGGAGGCTGGGCTGGCCTCGCCCGGCCGGAAGGCCTGCCCCAGTTGCCAGTGGAGAGGTTTCTGTCATAGTCCGGTGGCACACGGGCCCCGATCTGGACGCTGGAATTCGTAACTAGTTGAAACACAAAGAAATACATGGTTAAGTCCTAAATGGAGGCTTAAGGAATTTCTGTAACTGTACTATTAAAGCATTCTTACATGTTCTCCCTTTTGCTTGGAGTACCTGCTTTACCTGACATTTCAGGATCCAGCTCAGTCACCATCTCTTCTCAGGCCTACACATGGAGAAAAACAAGTCTGGGTGCCTCATACCCCCCCCCAGCAGCTGTATTTTTAGTGGTTTGCTTTTAACTGCTTTCTAAATGTGCCATGGTACTTCTGTTTGGGGGGGGGGGTCCCGCCACTGAGCCTGGCAGGTTTGGTAAATGCCGATGTGTCTGATGCATGGGGCTTACTCTCCAGGGCTGATGAGAGACGCCGAATCTACCAGACACTCCGTGCTGAGAGCGAGGAAGCCTGGTCCTGTGTTTCCGTGTTGGGCTGGGGCCTCAGAGGTCCCTGACCTGGGACCGAGAAAGCCAGGTCTCGGGGAGGGGAGCCAGTCTTGAGAACGGGAAGTCCTGAGAGGTGCAGCGACAGAAGTGTGAGGGACCGGAGGGTTAGTGGAGGAACACCCTTCAAGTGTGGGACAGTGAGTTCCCGGCAGCTCAGAGAAGCAGCTGGGATTCATGGGAAAGCCAGCGTCAGGAGGCAGGCGCCTCCGACAAGGGCAGGCTGCGCGATGGGGTGCTGAGGTGGCCTTCAAAACGGGAAGACAGAGGCGTCCCACCCGTTAGGAACCTGACGTTGACAACGAAGTGGCTGAGTGTGTGTTGGTTACGGGTGTGCCCTGGGGCTCTGCCTGGCGTGCGGAGAATCTGAGTCAGAACCTGGGGTTTTCTCTGAGGCTTCAATATTTGTAAGTTCACTTAAGATATTAAAAAAGGCTTTTGTTGATGTAAGTAAATGCCCATGTAAAATAATATTAGCATCACATTGAAATCTTGTTGGTGAATAAGCAGTAATCAAAATTTTAAGCTGATATGTAATTGGTAATATAATTTCTATCAAAAAGTACAGCTATACTCTAGAAGGAAAAGGAACAAGGACTTTTAAATTAGAAGCTTAGTCTTCTCAAATATTCAGTAATATTTTCTTGCTTTGGGTACAACTGTTTTAAGAATTGTAAGAGACCTGCTTCTGAAACCTGGCTGCAGTACTTTAAAAGAAAGAAATGTTAATCCCCACCTGAGGATGTGTTTATTGATTTTAGAGAGAGGGGCAGGGAGAGAGAAACACCGGCCGGTGGCTCCCGTGCCTGCACCACCGAGGGACCGGACCCGTAACTTTGGTGTGTGGGGTGATGTTCCTCCCGACCATCCGAGCCACCTGGCCAGGGCCTGACTCCATCCATTACTTTTGTGTGATTTGGGGTAAAATAAATTACTTAAAACTTACATAATAAGCAAACAAATAAGCAAGTGTGTGCATCAGGGTAAGAAGGTAGAAAATGGCGAGGCAGCAAAGGGTGCTGTTTGACGTGAGTGGGCGGGGAGGGCGACCCTGGTGCGGGGTCTCAGGGAAGTGAGGAAGGAAGCCAGGAGAGCCCCTCGGACAGGCGTGTGGAGTTTCGGGCTGGACCCAGAGGTACCGGGCCAGCGTCCAAATTTCAGCCCGGCTTGCAGGGGCTTCCTGTGTGCACTCAGGTGCGAGACGCACAGCTCCAGACAGGAAGTGACGGTCGCTGGGCCCAGGTGGTTGGCATGGAGGTGAGAAGGGTAGGATTCTAGATCACCTCTGCATAGAGCCACCAGAATTTCCTGACGGGTGGGACAGAGGGTGTGAGAGACAGAGCGGAGTCCTCGACAGTGACTCTTAGGGATTTGGGCCTGAGCAGCTGGGAGGAAGGAGTTACCCTCACCAAAGTGTCAGGTGGGGCAGGAGGGTCAGCGGTTCGGTTTGGGACTGTGAAGCGTAAGAGGCCATTAGAATCCAAGAGGAGACCTCACGTGCTCTCTGGACGTACGAGCCTTCAGTTCAGGAGCAGGGCCCGGTATACGTTCGGAGGCTGTCGGGAGTCGGTGCAGCTTTCCCACCCGTGATGCCGTCGTTTGTGAGACGCACCATTCCTGTAGAATCGGAAGCAGTGCAGTGGGTGGTGTTGACAACCACAGGAGCAGGTGACAGGACGGAGAAGTGAAGGCAGAGAGGAAGACCAAGACCTGGCCCTGGCAGGAGAGGAACCGACAGGGAAGTCAGGAGCAGCTGGTGAAGAGGAGGCAGGTAGGAGAGCCAGGGGTCTTCTGGAAACTAAGGAACTGAGCGCTTCAAGAAGAGGGGGGTGATGGGCTTGAGAAATGCTGCCGCCTGGTCAGGAAGAAGAGAGTGAAAATCAGTGAATGGAACAGAGGGACCCAGACTTGCTGCAGTGGGTCTGTAAGGCAGATCGGGGGGAGGCGGTGGGGACAGCAGCTCTGCACACCCCCGCCTGGGCGCTCTGCCACAAGGAAGGGCAGGCCCACCCTGAGCTGCTGTGTGTGGGCTCTAGACCAGCAAACAACAGCGCTTGTCGCCTTTTGCTGGTGAAAGCAAAGCACAGCTCTGGCTGCACCAAGAAATCGCAGCCAAGCTGGAGTCCAGGGTAGTTTGCACGTGGTGGACGTGGCCATGCCTGTGCCGATAGGAACAATAGGACAGAGCACACGTGAGCGATAACCTGGGGGACGTTGCTGGCACAGAGGAAGAGACTGGCTGCAGACGAGAGCGTGGGTGTCCCCTGGGGGAGTCACCGGGGAGGATGTGGTCAGGTGCCGGCAGGTGCCCGCACCAGCCCGCGGGTGTTCCCTCCTGCCCGCATTGCTCTTCCCAGCCAGTCCGTTCTCCTGCCGCTGTGCTGTGCACCTTGTGTCTCAGGTGCCTGCCTGTAAAGGGGGGGTGTGCGTGACAGTGGTCTCTCCACCCTGGTTTATTTTCTTGTGAGTTTGTTTATTATTTAGGGAGAGGGGAAGGAGAAGGAGAGGGAGAGAAACACTGATCTGCTGCCTCTTGCACACCCGCAACTGGGAACCTGGCCTGTGACCCAGGCCTGGGCCTTGAGTGGGAATCGAGGTGGTAACCTCTTGGTTTGCAGGCTGATGCTCTGCTCACTGAGCCACACCAGCCAGGCCTCTGGCGAATCTTCTTACCCTGAGTCTTGTCTCTGCTCACCAAGATCCAGGTTCATGGCCTGCATGTCTGAGAGCACAGCTGCTTTTCTGTGATCAAGTCCTCCCAGGTTCATGTCAACTAGTAAGGCCTTCAGGGAAGCCACCAGGCAACCTTTCTTAGGGACACTTTAATCAGCATTTCAACAATACGGGGCGGGACCCCCAAAAGACAGCATTATCTTCTGGAAGGCAACTCCTTGTAGTACAGGATTCCCCCGCTAGGTGAGTGTTCTAGGAACCCGGCTGTATTCGTGTACCAACTGGCGTCGTTGTGAGAGGCTGTGTTCGGCTTCAGTGAATTTTTTTGGAAGACTCTTTCAACTTGTTTACCTGTTTCATTTATGAGTGGTGCACTGAGTGTTCAGCAGTTTTTGACCCAAAACAGCATGACCCCCATCCCCCACCCTCCCTATTCACTCAATCTCTCCTGCGAGCAACTTTTTTTTATTTCCCTGGGTTGAAAAATGTCCTCAAAGGGGACTTTTTGCCAATGTGGAAGAGGTGAAACAAAAAACAACAGAAACACTAAAAGGCATCAAAATTAATGAGTTCAAAAACTGTTTTGAGCAGTGATAAATATATCTCGATAGGTATATTGTATCAGATGGAAAGTACAAGTTTAAACATGTAAGAATAAATATATCATTTTTATAAATAGATTCTGTTTTCTTTTGGTACCCCAAGTACACGTGTGAAAAACTAAACGAAGGTACGAGATTGTACACCCTTGTCAAGTGTTTAAGCACTGAGTACCCCAGGAGTGCCAGGGCATGGGCGCCTCTGAAGAAGAGCCGTCGGAAGGTGGGGGACAGTGCCCCTGGAGAGTTGGACAGGAGGAGCAGGAAGGACTGTCCAGGCAGGAGACGTGGGTTAGCAAAGGTCCATAGCAAAGGGCCTCGGCAGACACGGCGAGGAGGGGCAGGCGGTGTGCGTGGGATCGTCACTGACGTGGGTGTTTCGGTATTAGACCAGCGAGAGAGGGGGTCGTTCCAGGGAGAAGGAAGCCTGGGTTTCCGGGCCCCCCCCCATCACAGCCCTCCCCCAGGCAGCGCTGGGGGGCCTTCCTGGAGCCTGCAACCCGAGTGCAGGTCTCTGGGTCTGAGGGGCCCAGCAGACATGGCAGTCGTCTGGAGTGGTTTCCGGGTGCTGTTGGTGAGGAATGTTCAAGTTCATGGAAGCGAGTTGCAGTTTCAAATTCCTCTGCCGTGACTTTGTTCATACCATTTTGCAAACAGGTCTCAGAAGACACTCCGAGTCACTCAGGCTGGGACAGTGAGCCTGAGCTGCTGAGCGACTTCAGCGGCCCTTCCATTTTTGACAGCGGAGCAGAGTCTCAGCCCGATGGCCCCACCTGGAGGCCTTTGCCCACCAGCAGAGCATCACAGTCAGGTAAAAAGGATCTCAAACCACCCAGAGTTTGGAAGCTGGCAGTGCATCTTAGAAATAATGTGGTCCAGCCTCCTCAGATTCCAAGGAAAGGAAAGCCTTACAAAGTGATATGGCCAAGGGAGAGGTAAATTAAATGAGGTCTTGGAGTGGTTTCTAAGGAGGCACGTTGCCTCCACACGAGTATTTTTGTGTGGTGTTTGAAGGGAGCGGACCCATAAGTGGGTCCAGAAGGGAGGAGGCCGACTCAGTGAAGACCACACACACCATATGTGTGGGCCCAGAGTTTCCCAGGAGACGTTGCCGCAGAGAAATGACAGACTGGAGCCACACGGTGAGGTGGGCGGGAGTCAGAGGTGGTCCGCATGGCTCCTAAGCACAGGCTAGAGCAAGTTCAGTAAAACCGTAGTACCCGTGTGTACGTGATCTTACTTTCTGATTTAATTCCACGATTTGAAATAGACAAGGAATCTGCTGAAGGTTGGAGGTGTAGACCTGCCCACAGCATTTATTCATGATGTCAGTTGTTCCCAGACTACAGTTAAAAACCGAAAACCATGGTGGCAAACGGACCTCAAAGGCCAGATGCGTCTTTTACGATGGACACCAGCATCGGAGGCCATGCTGATGGAGTCTCGGGAGACGGCTTCCAAGCCCTCTGGGGTTAGAGACTGTTAAACTCTGGCTCCAGTGTGGTTATAGAAAATGTTCAACCAAACATTTCTTGTATGGACTCCTTTGCAAGCCCCTTGCCCTTCAAAGGTTAAAAATCCTGCCTGGTGTGGCTCAGTGGGTTGAGCACCGGCCTGAGAATCAGAGGGTCGCCGGTTGGATTCCCAGTTCAGGACATGTGCCTGAGTTGTGGGCCAGGTCCCTGGTTGGGGGGGTAGGGGGCACGTGAGAGGCAACCGCACATTGATGTTCCTCTCCCTCCCTCCCCCTGTCTAAAAATAAATAAATAAAATAAAAATTCCTTTGAACAGCATAGCTGCATTTCTTGCTAGACCACACTGTGACACAGAACAGCTACGTTACTTTTCTGTCCAAGGAAGTGAAGAAGTTGGGCTCACAGTCACTGTGCACTGTGAGTCTCCGGAGTGTCCTCCCCGTGCTCGCCGGCAAGCCCGGTCCCACGCGCTCCTGGGAGCGTGACCCGCAAACCGTCAGGCCCTGTTAATGCGTCACGATCGGTGGCTGGGCTGCCCAGGCTTAGTTTCTGTGCTTGTTCTGTAGCAAGTTGTGAACCTTTTTACTTTAGTTTTTACGTGAGAAGTCACAATGACTGTAACTCCTGATACAAAGCTGTAAGATCCAGAGAGTCACGAAGAAAACGCGATCAGCAGGAGGTCACTCCAGAAAGTTTTTGCTGCATCAATAGAAAGGAAGCAAGTTTTTTTGTCTGTTTGTTGGTTTTAAAGATTTTATTTCTCTATCTTTAGAGGGGAAGGGAAGGAGAGAGGGAGGGAAATATCAATGTGTGGTTGCCTCTCGTGTGTCCCCTGCTGGGAACTGGCCTGCAACCCAGGCATGTGCCTTGACTGGGAATCGAACTGTGATCCTTTGGTTCGCAGGCCTGTGCTCAATCCACTGAGCTACACCAGCCAGGGCGGAAGAGAGTTTTATTATTGTTTTTTGCTAAAGAGTGAACCACTTCTTCATTCTTTATATTTTTAAATGAAAATTCTGCATGCATGTAATTCAAATACGATATTTATAAGGTGTGTTATATTGTGTATTCATAAGGCTTGTTATAAAAAGTTGTAAAAATTCAAAAAATTACAGTCTGCCGTTTCCCCTAAATGGCCTGTCCCCCCAAGGCATGCCCTGTCACTGTCCCATGGCCGCCGTCCCTCTGTGTCTTGCCTGATTCCTGGTTTGGGCCGTCAGCCAGTAAATTCCCTCTGTGGATGATGGAGTCCCAGCTCCTGCACACGTGCCCCCTCCCACTAGTGACCCGCACTGAGTCCTTATGAAATGCAAAATGAGATTTCGCATTTCTCTTCCTCTAGCTTCCCAGTATAGTTATAATTTTTACTAGGTCAGCATTTAGTGCCTACATTATCATAAGGACTGAGCCACAGCCCTTACTGTGTTATACTTTTTGTGTACCCTGTGGTTTATCTAGCGCAGGGAATCGTTTTCTTAGTTTTCTGTTCATTTGTTACTACACTCTCACGAGTCACTCATGTGTCTCCGCACTTCCTCTCAGTCTGAAACACCCTCTCCGAGCCCTCCATGTTCCGTAGCTTCCTCCTCGGGAAGAAGGCTTCCTGCCCCTCCCGCCTGCACCGCCTAGACCGGGACCCCTGGACCTGTGACCCAGCGGTCTGGGGCTGTCTGTGCCGTCTCTCTCCACCGTTCTGTCATCTCTCCTGTTAAATTCCTTGTGTTACTGATCCCATTTCATCTTCTTTGCTGGTTGACTTCCTCACGTTTTGGAGCATCTTCTCATTTTGCTGAGGATATTAATGACATCTTCCCTCCTGGTGTGCTTGTTTTGACCTGTGCTTTTAATATGGTCACTTGGGCGACTGGGGGCCATGCGTGCACGGTGGCCCCATAAAATTATAACGGATCTCAAGCAGAAGGTCTGTGGTGTTGACGAGAAACGCCGGGCCCAGCTGCGACACCGACTCTGCGTCCAGCTCTGGTCTCGGTGCAGGAGGCCCGGCTCCCTCTTCACTTGCCCGGCACCCACAGAGGCCGACACCAGGAGTGGAAGTGAGGATGGGCCGGGAGGAGGGGAGGCCCACGTGCGCCCCCCGCCCCCACGTGTGCCGCAGTCTGTCCGCGGACTGCCCTCCCTCCCCTTCCCCGCATTTCTCTTGCTCTCTCTCCCTTTCATTATTTCTCATCTCAAGCCTTAACCTCTCTGGGTCTCTTGATCTTTGCTTTCCCTTTCTCTCCCCTCTCCCTCCTCCCAACATCTCCTCCCCCTCCGCGGGCGCCTCCTTCTCACCGCCCCCCCCACTGCCGGGCACAACTAGGTGTGTAGTGGGCTGACTACCATCTGGGCTCGTGTCAGCGCACTCTGTGATGGTCACATGAAGATGTGTTTCTCGGAACTCGTCCTTCTTAAGTGACGTGTGACTGTATTGGAGACTTTCTTCAGATGTTCAGTGAGCCTCAGGTGGCTGGCCCGGTTTCAGAACAAGACTGAAACGTTGATTCAGACGTTGCGGAGTCTTGTCAGCCCCGCTCTGCAGGAGAGCGGGCTCTCTGGGCTCTTTCCTCTGTGAACTCCAGCATCACCACCTTGAGCTCTCCTCCCCGGGCTGATCCGACTTTCCAGAGAACTCTCTCGGAGTCTTCGGGTTGGAGGGCAAAGCTGCTGTTCTGGGAAGTGGGTGGGGAGAAGTGGGCCCCAGGGGAGTGGGCGTGGACGCAACACTCGCGGTCAGACTCACTCCTGCTTTCCGCAAGGCCCACCTGCTCACAGCAGTTCTGTGCCCAGGACCCCTACTCCAGGGACCCTAACTTAAAAAGTTGATTGATTGATTTTAGTGAGAGAGGAGGAGGGAAGAGAGAGAGAAACACATCTATTCATTGTTGTGCTTAATTATGGATTCACTGGTTGACTCTTTTTTAAAAAATATTTTATTTTTAGACAGGGGGGAAGAGAGGGAGAGAAACATCAGTGTGTGGTTGGCTCTCGGGTGTCCCTACCAGGGGACCCAGCAGGGGACCAGCGGCAACCCAGGCCCTGACCGGGAATCAAGTGCGTGACCCTTTGGTTCACAGGCTGCTGCTCAGTCCACCAAACTGCACCCGCCAGGGCCGTTGGTTGATTCTTGTATGTGCCCTGACTGGGGGTCTACCAGCAGCCTCAGCCCACCAGACAATGCCAAACAACTGAGCTGTTCAGCCAGAGCCAGAGACCCCTCCTTTTGACTCTCGCAGAGGAGACAGGGAGGGGTCCGAGTGTCTCCTGCTTCCCAGCAGACTTAGGCAGCCCCTGCGGTTCGCCCCCCCCCCACCTGGTTCCCCGGCAGCCACGGCTGACCAGCTCCGGGGCCTTCGTTAGAGGGCGCAGGGCATAGTCAGCTTTTATCACTCCTGTCTCCTTTTCCATTATTCGTTCTTGGCTCTTTATCTTTTAAAATCGCCTTTGTAGTTGTGGTAGTGAAACAGAGCAGAGGGCACTGGGTGTCCTCGCCCTGCTGTCCTGGCCAGGAGGTCCTCGTGCTGTGTGTGTGTGTGTGTGTGTGTGTGTGTGTGGTTTGATAGATATTTCAGCATAATATTTATATATTTTTATGGAAATATGTGTTTGTATATATCTTTGAAAATAGTCATCCTCAAACTTTAGCGTCCATCAGATCACCTGTGGGGCCTGTTAGAACACAGGTGCGCTCTGGCTGGTGTGGCTCAATGGACTGAGGCTGTGAACCAAAGAATCTCTGGTTCGATTCCTGGTCAGGGCACATGCCTGGGTTGTGGCACAGGCCCCTAGTTGGGGACACTCAAGAGGCAACCGCACATTGATGTTTCTCTCTCTCTCTTTTTCCCTCTCTTCTCCTTTATCTAAAAAAAAATTTTTTAAAAGAACCCAGTCGGGCCCAGCTCGCATCAGTCCCCGGGGAACCTGGCACAGGTAGCTGGTCCGGGGACGAGGCTTTGAGAACCGCTGATTTCTGCAGAGCCTCGTGGACACTGTTACGTGGCACTCCATGCTATGGAGATAGTAGGTTCCTAACCCTGTCACTTAGGTTTAATTTTTTCCAAATTATCAGCAGGGCTGTCACAACATGCCTCGACCCTGAATCTTTGCATGCTTTAAAAATCACTTAACTCGGATGAAAATCTTAGAAGTACAACTGCAAGATCTGTTTGTCACCATTTATTGGGTCCCCGCTCTGCGCTGGGGCCTGTTCTGGGCACAGGACACACTAGCGAGCAAGGCTGCCTGCCTTCAAGGCGCTGGGGGCGTGGTGGGCGGAGCCGGACAGCAAGGGCTCTCGTGAACAAGGGCAGTTTGGCGACCGACAGATGCTTGTGGGGTTCAGAAACGGCACTTGAGGAGTCACTGAACTTGGAGGGTTTTTGTCTGAGAAAGCTCAAAGTCCCTTGGGTCACTCCCGGTCCCTCTCCAGCCCAGCCTTTCCTCTGCACTACAGATTTCGACACTCAGTTAGTTGCCTACTCAGCGTTTCTGCTTGTGTGTTTAACAGCATGTTACACTCACCGTGTACACTTCCGATACCTTGACTTACGTCGCCCAACCCATCTCAGTGAACGGCATCTCCGCTCATTCCTCAGGCCCGAACCGCAGACGCGCACTTGTCTTCCTTCACTGTCTCCCATCCTTCGCGGCCGGGCCTCTGCGGCCGGGGCGCCCTTGCTCCCTCCCCTGGTGCTGCTGTCTTGTGCTCGTTCTACCCTCCAGGACGCCACCCTGCCCCCAGCAGCCACGGGACTTCATGGAACCCGAAATGGGCGCTGGTGCCCTCTGTTGAAAGGTCTCCAGAACCTTCTCCTCACACTGGCCCAGAATGAAACCCACAGCCCGCCTCGGGGCCTGCGGAGCCTTGCACACTGCCTTCTCCCTCCCCTACTGTGCCGACCACTTTCCTGCCCCGAGATGCGCTCACCCCGCCGGCTTCCTTGCTTCCCTTCAAGGTCACGCCTGCCGATGCACATGGGGCTCTTCCCAAGCCCCTTGGGACTTTGCTCTGCACCCTTCGGGCTGCTCGGGCCTCACCGTCCGAGCGGCCTCTCTGAGTGTGCAGAGCCGCCTGCCTCTTCCCTTCCCGTCGCCTGCCCGCCCGCCTGCCCCACGCTGCTCTGTTTCTGGGTAGCACTCACCGCCATCTGTCAGTTGTACATTTTTTGGCTTACTGACTGCTCTCACTCAAATGCCGGGTCCGAGAGGTGAGACACTCTTCAGTGTCGCACCCCCCCCCCAGACCCAGAACAGGGGCACGGAGAATGAGACACGTAAGGGTTGAAAGAGGAGGAAGGGCCTGGGAGGCAGTGTGGCCGGGCTCGTGTCTGCAGAGCCTCTCAGAGGGGACAGGTGACAGGGGGCCTGGGACAGAGTCGCACGCTGTGCCCTGCTTTGTGCTTGTGTGTCCTTGTACCATTTGACCAAGTGTTCGTGTTCACTATACAAAACTTCAACAGGTCAAATTCCTTTTTAGTATCCAAGTCCATCCAATTCCCACAAGCAACTGACAATGACCTTTTTGGCCAGTTTCCTCTTAAACTATCATGGCTTTATGGCCAGATTGCTCTTTGTAAGATTTTCTCAATCACGCCCCGATTTTAACATGTTTAATGTGTCTCTTGGGATTTTATGTTTTTTCTTCTCTTGTTGTCCACACTAATCACTTGCACTGTTAAAAATCTCCATTTGTCCCTAAGATATGTCATCCGTCTGCTCCGGGTCTCTTGACGGCGTCGAGTACTCGCTGCGGAAGGCGAAGGGGACCGTGAAGATGTCCCTGCCGGGGACGCTCGCCCTCTGTTCCCTGTCGTTGCTGTGGCAGAGAGAGGCGGTCACCCTCTCGGAGCTCCTGAGGTGAGCCGTGCCTCTCGGGGTGTGTCTGCTGGTTTTCGGTGCAAACTGGGGATATTTTGGATATTTTGAATTCTACAGAGAGGCTTCAGTGGAGGAAGGGACTGGAAAGACTGGGTAGCCTGCGTTCAAATTCTGAAAGGCAGTCCTCCCTGGGCAAGTAACTCACCTCCTTGGTTTCCTTACTTACACAGTGGAAATAGTAGTAGTGGCCTCACATCAAGTGTTGGGGAATCGATCATCTGTCAGTAAAATGTTTTGGAGATGGAAAGTGACGTCCAGGTAGCAGCATTAGTGTTTTTATTCCCAAAGGAGAAGGTGTGCGGACGACCTTTCTATCGGCAAATGGCGCTCACGCGGTCACATGAGCGTGCGCTGCTGTGGGTGAGAGCTGAACTGCAGGCCAGGCCGTCTCCACCCATAAGATAAAGCTGAAGACACAAGTATTGGGAGAATCTGTTGTGTGGGTACTTGGCACTTTTCAAGATAATCTACAGGGTTTTATAGTTATTGAGCAAGTTATGGCTTTGTGCGTAAGAATTTCTCATTAAATACCTGCGTGGAAATCATTAATGTGTTCATTTTCCCTTGTTTTATGTATTCTAATCAATAACATTTGGGTTTAATCAGTGTGTAGAGTAATTAAAGAACGTATATTTAGAGCCACATTCCCGGGTTCGAATCCTGTCTCTGCTGTTAGGATGTTATGCGACCTCGAGTAAGTTTTAACTTAAATTTCTCGCTGCCTCTGTGTTCTCACTGGTAAAGTGGGGGTGGCAGTACCCACCTTGTGGGGTTGCAACTGCTTTCAGTCATCACCACTCGAGAAGCACTTGGAGCAGAAGCCGGTGCCAGTCCTGGTTGTTGTTTTCGTCACTGTCTTCCTCCTCCTTCCTTCCTTTTGTCCCCTCTCCTCCGCCGCCCCCTTCACCAGCATCCTCATTACTGGCACTGGGCCCTTTGATTAAATAGAATGCCTCCAGTAAATGATGATAGTGTCTTTGAATTTGGCCACATCAACCAAATAACAAGGCTTTTCTCAGATGTGATTAACTCTGTGCAGATAGTCCATGATTCAGTGAGTTTTACTGTCAAGTTAGAAACCCGGTCTCGCTCCGCATGCCCCCCCCAGTGACGTCACCCTCTGCCAAGGCTGTAATTACGGCCTCCACGGGGACGGCTCCGGGTCACCGCCTCCAGCCCAGACTTGTCCCGGGGCCAGACCCACGCAGTCCTGTGTGCCGTGCAGCTGCCCGCTGGACGCCCCGAGCGTTTCACGCCTGTCCAGGTCAGCAGGACTAGAAGGGGCTTATCGTCCCTCTCGCCTCGGCCCCACCCCTTCTCCAGCGTGTCCTTCTTAAGTGCCGTGCACTCGGCTGCGCCCTATTTAGAAACCTCAGGGTCACTTGGCTCCTCCCCCTCTGCACCTGCAGCCAGTGCCCGTCGTGCGCACAAAGTTGCTCTCGAAACCCCTTTGGTTCCTCCCCATTCCCTCCGTCTCTCCCTCACCCCGATCACTCCACAGCCACTCAGGCCAGCCCGAGGCCCGCAGTCTTGTGCTGCTCTGCCCGCTCTTCTCCATAACCAGAGGGGGCGTACAGGAACGGCAGTCTCAGCCTGCCCTTGGTGCCGGATAAAGTGCCTACCGGGCAGTCTGTGAGAGCATGTGAGAGCTCTCCTAGGAATCCAACAGGATGCGGGAAAAACGTTCACCTGCAGTTCTTCCGGGGAGGATGTTCTGTGTGGTTGGAGGGTCGGGGTAGGATCCTGCACCTCTGCTGCTTTCTCTCCCCCTCCTTCCCCTCCCTCCGAGGGGAATTCTTTAGGGCCTTCAAGGGGATTGGATCTGGTGAGCGGGAGGGCTTGTTTCACTCTGTGCGCACACGGAGTTGGGGACCAGGCTTAACTGCTGGGAGTAACAGCAGAGAGCGTCCCCTTTCTCTGTCTGCGTCTCTCAGAGGAGAGGCTCAGGGTCCAGTTCTCAAAGTGCTGACCCCTGACAGCGGTGCTGCCAGGGGACTTGCAGGAAGGGCAAGTCCTCGGGCCCATTTCAACCTTCTGAATGCGAGCCCTGGTGGTGGCCTGGTAATCTCTGTTTTAAAAGCTCTCCAAGAGGTTCCTATAGATGCTAAATTGAGAACCACGGCCCAACTTTGAAAACTATGTAAAGAATGTTGATGGCAGATAATCCGTGATTAGCCGGCCACACAGCACCTCATCCTGGCCCCGCCCGCCACTCCCCTGCTCCAGGCCTAGAGCAGCAGCAGCAGCGGGATAAACTCTTCCTAACCCTGAAAACTGCCTCCCTGCAAAGGCAGTAACAAGCGCACAGCCAGCACGCGGTCGCCCCACGCCTTTTTATTGAATATGGACGACGCAGCTGTCATTCTAGAGATACAGTTGTGAACCACATAGATCAAGCCCCTGCTCTCATGACGTTCAGAACCAGAGGAGGAAACTGATGAGCAAATACACAGCTCAGTAGAAACCCATCGGACAGTGAGGCACTGTGCGGAAGGTTGGAGTCGGACGGCTGCTTTGGACCGGTCCCGGGGGCAGGCCTTCCCGAGAGCAGTTTGAGCTGCACTTTGAATGGGAACAGAGCCAGCCCCGAGTCAGAAGTGTTGGCCTTCCAGGGTCAGAAGTGTTGGCCTTCCAGGGACGGGAGGTCCCAGTTGCTGCCCTGAAGCAAGAGCAGACTGTGTGTGGTCAAGGGGGGAGGGGCGGTTGTGGGGGCGAATGTGGCAGAGGAAGCAGGGGCCAGGTATAGGTCTTTGCAAGCCAGGTCAGCATCTGGGCTTCTTCAATTGAGATGAAATTCGCATACAACAAAATTCACCCTTTAAAATGCAATTCGGTGGTTTTCAGTGTATTTACAAGGTCAGGCGACCATCTGTATCTGTCTCCACGACATAGTCGTCGCTCCAAGCGGACACCCGTGCTCTCTGGGGGCTGGGGGACAGCAAGCCCCGGGAAGGGTCAGCCAGAGAGACATCTTTCCTTCAGGCCACCGTGGGAAAATGCAGTCTCGGACGGCAGGGCGGAGTCAGGGAGACGGGGTGGTCTCTGCTGTCCCAGACAGTGGCTGGGGCTGGGGGTTGGGCACAGCAGTGGAACCAGGTGAGTGGGTTCAGGATGTGTCTGCAAGGAGACATGACTTAATGCTGATGCAGCGCTTCTTACATTATCTGCTCGGAGAACCAACTCGTTAAATCTCCAGTCTGCCACAGATTGAAACTGAAAAATACAATAAAATTATAAAGACAGACAGCGTTTCCAGAGGACAGGGCTGGGGCAGCGGTCTGTTGGTTGGGGGGCCCTTCGTCCGGGGCCCCCCTCTGCCAGCTCCGTGGTGGATGCGAGGCCCCACCTGAGAGTCCTGACCACAGGAAACAGGTCGTTCAGGACTGTGACTGGAACGCACGTGCCTTCTCTAAAAGGAAATTCAAGAAGGAAAAATTACTCTGAAAAGAGAGGAAGAGCAGCCGTGGTGAGAACTGTCGAAACCCCAGGTGCCTAAGCCCTGCTGTGCAGACGTCCCTCTGCCCGGCAGGTTCCTCGTGCCTTCGCCCGCCCCCGCCACGCCGTGTGCCCATGCTGCTCTGCCCCCACACCGCCCCACCGTACACCGCCCGTCTGGCCTTTGTGGGTCCTGGTGGGAGCGCAGGTGTCTGAGTGTGTGTGTGTGTGCGGCAATAACACATTCGCGTTGTTGGCCATCTTTCTCCTTCCACTGGACTGTAGACTCAGGAGCAAGAACATTCTCCCGTCTTGTTCACTACTCTGTCTCCACAGCCTGGAGTAGTGCTGGGTGCATGGTACTCAGTAAACTTTGTCGAATTAATGAGTTAATTGTGAATAAATACATATGCATATTTGTTTTTATGTATGTACTATTTTCTTCAAATACAATAATTTACTTAAAAACATTGCATCAGCTACCATGTAGCAGACATTGGGAGGGAGTGATAAGCCAGTGGGCAAGGTTCCCCCCCCCCTTAATTGTTCTAGTGACGGTCATCCACCATGCAGGTGCGGCAGGCGGAAGGGCAGACCAGGGAAGTGTCCTCACAAGGAGAGCAGGGGTCAGAGGAGGGCTCCCTGAAGCGGTGATCTGGGAGATGAGTCAGAGCTCACCGTGTGAGGGGGTGGCGGGGGGACAGGCAAGGCCTGCCTGCAAGCCCCGAGGAGCCCTGACAGCGGGGACGCACGCCTCTCAGAAGCGGGCCATCTGACAAGTGAGTCGGAAACGAGAGGTCTGCAGATGGCTGACGAGGGAGGCCGTTTCTCTGCACACAATACAGAGTGATAGGATCACCCTTAGAAATGTGACCGGCCCTGGCTGGTGTGGCTCAGCGGACTGAGTGCTGGCCTGCGGACCAGAAGGTCACCGGTTAGATTCCCGGCCAGGGCACAGGCCTGGGTTGCAGGCCAGGGCCCCGGCGCGGAGTATGTGAGAGGCAACCACACAGTGATGTTTCTCTCCTCCTCTGTCCCCCTCCCTTCCCCTCTCTCTAAAAATGAATGTATAAAAATCTTTAAAAAAAATGGGACCATGACACTCAGTGGAGTCCCACCTTCCCTTTGAAACACGGCACGTTCAGCTCTTTCCGTGACTTTTCTGAATCGGTCCGTACCTCCTACTGCAGCCCTTTCTTTCCACCCCGCAGGCTCGTAGAGGAGGGCCACGTGCCGTACATGACCGCGTTCCAGCGCTTCCCAGAGGAGATGAAGCTGTACGGGCGCGACAAGGGGATCTTCGCGGTGGAGGTCAGTCCGCCCCCGCCAAGGAGCCCTGGGTGGGGGGTGGGGACGCCCGGGTCTGACTTCGGACCTGGTGTCAGAGTTCACAGCACGGCATCTACTTTGTGTTCTGGCCAAATGTGGACTGCTAGTCACAATTTCATGGACAATAGAGTTACTGTTTTTTGTTCTCCTTATGTGGCTTCTTTTAACCCTTGAGGTTAGCCCGGAAATACAGCTCAGTGTCTGGTGTGTGCCTTGCACGGGGTACATTGTTGAGACTAAACTTTGAAAGTTGTATCTAGAGACTTTAAATAATTTCAAGTGTTCTAAAAATACTTGTTGCTGATATGTGTACACTGTATTGCTTGGGCAAAACTAGAAGGAAGTTCCCAGCTTGTTTCAGGAGGCCCTGTTTTCAGTCCTTCGCTGGCAGCGTTTTCTCCGTCTAGATCTGCTGTCCGATGTCCCCTGCAGAGGGGCTCCTGTCCCTTCCGCCCGGGGCTCTGTCACTGTCCATGGTGCTCAGAGCCCATCTTCCCTTTTTCATCACCAGGGGGTTTTCAGTTCACTCTGTGTGAATGTCAAGCATTGTCTTCCATTTCCCACTTAAGTTACTTTCACAGGCCTTCCTGATGCTCACAACCTTTACACTGTTGGCGGTTTAATTTGTGGTCGTTGCTAACCGTGCCCGATAACTCTGGCTCACTCTGCCCCAGTTCTGTGTACAAGCAAACACCTTGGAAAGGCAGAACCGCGTGCCACGGGCACGCCGTTGGGGCCCGGCCTCAGGACTGTCGCACTGTGGGCCTCGTGCTCAGGGGGTATCGTCTTTGGCTCTGTCTACCTGCTCGTCGTCCCACCTCGTCACCCAGGTTCCTCCAAACACTTCAGTCGGTGCTTAGAAAAATATAACAATGTAACATGCTAATTTTGAAGTATTAGCCACAAGGCAATGGGTGACTGGGAACACAGATAAATAAGCAACATGCCATAACATTTTACACCTGAAGTGGTTAATATTAGCAGCATCTTGCATTGAATTAGAACGCTGGTCACTGTGAACAATGTAGAGACCGTTAGACTTTCAGACCAGCAGTGGCTCCGCCCCCAGAACTGCTCGTGCTGACGCAGGTCTCGCAGACTCAGAGTGCAGAGCTAGGTGGGGCGTGGGTGCCCAGTGCGGCTTCCTTACAGTTGCCGTGCGTTCGTGTCCCGGAGAGACCAGACAGGTTCCAAGCGCGCTTGCCCATGCCCACCCGTGGCCAGCGCGAGGACGGAGCGGACAGCTGCAGCCCCCACTTGACCTGGAGAAAACAAGAAGCAGCAGCAGTGGGAGTGTTTGGTGTGTGTCAGGCGGCATTTCAGAGGCTGCGTAAGCTCCTTTGTCTATACCAACCCCACGAAGTTCACAGTGGTCTCGTCTCCCTGGTTTTACAGACGAGGAAGCTGAGACAGAGCCGTTGGGCAACGTGCCTGGTGTTCCCACTCCGCACGTGGTCCACATGGCCACACGGCCTCAGTTTGGAAGGAGACCAAAAATATATATGAGGGACCATACCCAGCAATGAAGAGGGGGCGAGGGGCAGGGCAGGGAGCAGCTGTGGAGGCAATAAAGGGGCTTCCAAACGAAGCCAAGGGGCGGGTGGCCCTGTGGCAAAGATGGTGACCGGGACCCGGAAGCATGCAGCAGGGGACCCCTGGGGAGCGATCTGGGGAGCAGCACAGGGGCGGCGAGTGCACGTGTGTGGCCTGGGGTGCAGGCAGCAGGCCGAGCAGCCTTCCCCAGGGGTGGCCGTCACGGGAGCGCAGGTTAGCCTGTTGCTCAGCGACCGTTGATTTAAAACCAGGGCCCTGGCTGGTGTGGCTCAGTGGACTGAGCACTGGCCTGCGGACCGAAAGGTCACCCATTTGATTCCCAGTCAGGGCACGTGCCTGGGTTATGGGCCGGGTCCCCAGGTCCCCAGCTGGGGACACATGAGAGGGAACTGATCGATATATCTCTCTTACACATCAATGTTTCTCTTCTTCTCCTTCTCCCTTCCTTCCCCTCTCTCTAAAAATAAATAAATAAAATCTTAAAAAAGAAAAAGAAAAGGGCCAGAGACACAGGACACACCTGCTTTTCCAGGCAGCGCTCCGGGCCCCAGCCACCGCGTCGGCGATGTGGTGGGAGTGGGGAGGGGAGCACCCCCCCCCAGGGAGCCCACGCTCGTCTGGGGGAGGACTGACCCAGCTCTTGGCTTCAGAGCGGCCTGGGCTCCAGGGTGACCGCCTTCCCCTGTTTCCAAACGCATCGCATGCCCCACGAGACAGGAAGTCCAGGCGCTCCTGACGCTGCCCAACGCTGTCCCATCGAAGTGTTTCTTAAAATAATTGGTTTTTAAATCTATATAATTCATTAAGTAGTCATTTTAAATTTAGCTGCTGAGATGTTTATGACTAGTCATCTGAGCCTTGTTTAAATGTTCTGCTGAAAGAGAAAGACGTTTGGTTCTGTAGTTCTAGGTGTGTGTCTTTATATTTGTTCAGTTTCCCTCGGGGAACCAGTGGAACTGAGTTATGTGTATGATGAAAGTGTCTTTTAAAAAGTAAGCTTGTGATGAGCAAAATTAGGAACACTGGTCAGCTCTGGAGGGAGTGCTGAGGGGGGGTAGAGAAGGCGTGCCCGGGAGGCGCAGCGGGGCCGGTGACGTTCCTGCGAGTACATCAGGTTGGTTGCTTGGTACCCGTTTACTGCCGTGGCTCGCAGCTTGCAGAAATGCTGCCTGTGTTCTCTCGGTGTCTCTCAAGAGTGTAAAGGCAGCTAGAGGATGTCTGTCTAAATAGAATCTCTAACACAGAGGAGTAACAGTTAATGTGCATGGACGTCTTTGTAAATGTCTTGCGTCCCCAGTTACTCTTTGGGAGTAGGGACCGTGTTAAAGTAAGGGACCTTGTTATCCATAAAGCCCAGTGCAATTCTCTATGCACGGTAAGGACTCGGTCTGTGTTTATTGTTAAAATTATTTGAAATAGCAAAAAAAAAAAAGATGTTTAAATGTATTTTTAGATCTCAGATTGATCTGTTGGGGAGTTTTCCCACCTAAGCAGGGAACTTCCAGCTGCTTCTGATGTGTTTATTCCACAGTGTGCCAGGAGGCCAGCCAGGGGTGGCATCTGGCCAACAAAACAAAGAGGCAGGCATTCCATCAAAATTCTAGTGGTCAGTATGTGAGAGATGTATTTTCTGCTTATGAGCAAGAATATTTAAAAATGCAAACTATGGGTGTGTTAGTATCACTCATGAAAACCAGCGTGTGAGATAATCTCATCAGCTGATTTGTACTCTTTACCAATGTACTGAATTGCTTTGGTCAGAAAACCTTTGAGGTTCGACTGATGATACTTTTACTTAGGAGAATCATAGCTCGTATTTGCTGAGCGAAACCAGCGACTTAACTCGGATCGTCTGGGATTGAGTCTGGTCCCAGGCCAGCCCCGCCTGGCTGCCGGCACACTCAGCCCGTCCCCTTTCACCTGCGCATCTGGGAGGAGAGAGGGGGACCCAGGCTGGAGGCTCCTCTAGAGAAAACCGGGTCATAGTCACGGCAAAGGTGCATCTGCTGCAAGAACGGCTGTGCAACCCTTCGGACCCCAACGAGAAGCTACTTGGGGGTTATCTGCTCCTCTGGACACCAGCTTCGAATCTCCTTCAGTAAAGATATGTGGCCTTTGAACAGAGCTTGGCAACAATCAGCAGACTTTGGAGAACAGAGGCCTCTGAGGGACTCAGTGGGTTTCCCCAGCTCCCGTCCTGGGGCCAAAACAAACCACTGTCCCCTGGGCCGTGGGCGAGTCTGCGTTGGTCGGCAGTGCCCGTGTCCGTGTTTATTCCTAAGGTCTGTCTGTCTGTCTGTCTGTCTGCGGACCGAGTTCAGGCAACGTCCTGCCCCCAGGACCGATCCGAGGCTGTACTTCACAGAAAGTAACATGTGTGCCACAGGCTCCCAGTGGACTCCGACCGTAAAAAGGTAGTTTTTTGTTACTCCCTGGTAGCTTCCCGACCATGAAGGTAATTCTGGTGGGCTGAAATGCAAGGGGCACTGCTTCATGAGTGTGGAATTCATTTTATCCCCACATACCCTGCAGACTCCACAAAGACCACAGTACGGTGCTGCGTCATTGCTTCTGACGTTGCTTTTGTCCCTCAGTAATTGTTCTTCGTGGTGGAAAGTCTCATTTCAAGTTTGGATCAGCAGGTGCAAGGAGCCTCGGCCACGGCTCAGCGGAGCCCGTGCCTCGGAGCAGCAGGAGGTGTGCGGGTGAGGCGCCCGGCCTTTCAGTGGCTGGGCAGGGAGCCGCCTGGGACGGGGCATTGTAATCAGGTTCATCACAGCACTACTGTTGTGTAACAGAAACTGGAGCTTGTCCTTGCCTGTCTTAAGGCCTTGCCTCACGGAGGAAGACAGACTGGGAAGCGTCTGTGGAGTTCAGTGGAATGCTCTCCCGAGCACTCCGTCTTCAGGGCGCTGGACGACTTGTTATGGCCCCGTCATCTTCTAAAAACGCCGGGACCAAACCGCCCGTGCGTCCCCCCCATGTGTCCTGCTTACTGTACCTGGTAGACAGGTCTGCAGCCACAGCTCCCCCGCCTGTGAGTCCACATCCCCTCCCGCCCGTCCCAGGTCTTCTCAAGAAGAAGGGGGAGGGTGTCGACGTCTTCAGGTGACTGTTTGTCTAGTTGACAGGCAGCTTTTCTTCACTGCGTGCTTTGCCTTTGCTCACAAAAGTGCATTCACTCTGCCATAGTGTGTTGAAACTTTTCAATGGAAACGGCTTTTCATGAACAAAGGGTGCATTTTCCTCCCTCCGTCCACGTCTTACCTGTCCCCGCCGAGGCTTGGCTTCTTCAGCAGCTCTGCCTCCGCGAGAAATGACAAAAGGTGCGATTGTTCTGGGAGGTGGCGCAGCGACGCTGCCGGGGGGCTGGCTGTGTGGGCCGCGGGCACTGTGTTTCTTCTGTGCTAGTCTGATTTGGTTTTCGTTGCTCCAGAAAGTTGAGCACAGCTTACAAAACAAACCAAAGAGAGGGAGAGCGTGCACTTTAAAGATCCTGGAACCTTTACCCCGGGGTGGGGGGGGGGGGCTGCTTCCCATTCGGTTGGTCTGTTAGGGTTTCAGTGGCCTATAACAGCAAGGCTGACCCAGCTCCCTTGAAACAGCGGGCGTGGAACACGGGAGACAGAGGGACCGACGGGCTCTTCCAGGCAGGCCCCCCGCCCCAAGAGCAAAGCTCGGGGGAGGAGATAGGTGCGCAAGTTTTAGTGCTTTTCCAAGTTGTGAGTCCCAGCTGCAGGCAGATGGCCTTTCTTTTCTTTTTTTAACTTAATTCAAAAATAACCTTCTTCATCTGCCTTGGCCTCCTTTTTTATTTTTGACTCAAGCTTCTGGAGTATGGTACACATTCAGAGCATTGTTTTCTTCTGGCTAAAACCTGGTGGTTCACCTGGCAGAACAAACTGAGCATCTGGTCTCTCTCGGGGACACCAAGCCCACACAGAGTACGGATGATCCTTTGCCACTTGAACCGGCGTCGAGCCTGGGCACGCTCGTCTCTGTTCGGGATACATGTGTTCTGCTGATTTCTGCTACCTCTGTCTTCTCAGCCTTGATTTGCTTTATTTCTGTGTTCTCAACCCACGGACCAGTTTCTACACAGATCACTGGTAACACACCCATCACTCTCCCATGGTCCTCAGCAGTGTTTCCAAACCCTCTCAAGAAGGAGTCATTTTGTCCCCCGTCCCCAGCCTCAGCAGGAGGGACGTAGAGGAACTGGACAGCCTTTCCGAGGCCGCCTTCTGCTCTGCTCTCCCAACGAGAGAAAAGAGAAGGTTCGAGGCTGGACCGGCCCGGCCCACCTGGGGGCCCTTTGGCCCTCTGCCTCCGTGACTCATCATTGCACCTGGGGCAGTCGTACACCTTCTGGGAAACCAGGCCCTGTCTCGGGGAAGGAAAAGCCTCCTTGGGAGCCATCAGTCACTCCCCAAGCACCTCAGGTGACGTCTCGCTGGGTCGAGTTTCAGTCCACTCCCAGCCTTCAAACTCTGCTCTTACTCTGCAGGCCACACGGAGCCCTGGGCCTGTTTGTGCCACCTCCGTCAGAGCAAGAATGACCTGACGTTTGAGGTCTGCCTGGGGGGTGAGGGCAGGTGCCCTCGGTGCCCCCTACCCCCCGTCCCACCCCCGCCCTCCTGCAACCACTGCTGCCTGGTGGCAGGAACGTACCTCTCCTCCAGCCGCACGGAAAACAAGGGTGGGAAGCCACCACATTTTACTTTCGTTTCATTTCATTTTATTTTGTTTTTGCACAAGACTGTCCCAGAGAGCTTGTTTCAGCTGCAGGCTTAGACCCAGCGGCCGAGATGGACGGAGCATGTGTTTGGAACAAGCATCTCGCCACTGGCTTGGACCCAGACGGCACCGTCAGCGGCGCAGGCCTGTCTCATCCCGGTGCCGTTCCTCCCTGCCGTCGCTGCGGCTTGTTCCACAAAACGTTGGCAGTAGAGTTAGACTCACGAGCACATCACCAAAGTCCAGTTTTAAGCAGATGCTGTCGTGCCTTACTAAGCAGCTGAAGTTTGACACGCGGTCCTGGTGGCCCCTCCTTCCACTCCACACAGCAGAGGTGTTACACGCCCGGCGACGCTGTGGTGCACATGCCTAGCATTCGCTGGGAGGCCCTTCCTTGGCGTCGTTCTCTGCGTGAAGGCAGCTTCTGAACGTCGAGCAGTGATTAAATGTTTCCTGTCGTGATCGTTTGGCAGTTACCCACGTTTTGGAATCCTATCAGGGTTAGAGCCTGACCCCCTTCTCTGGGCTGAGGGCAGAGGGCAGTGGGACCGAAGTGCCCCGCTCCCCTGGGGGCTTCGCCTCAGAAACCAGGTTGTCCCCTCGCCATCTGCCAGGGGTTGGCTACAGGGCCAAGCCGGCTCGGTTGGGGTGGGAGCAGCTGTGTGGGGAGCTTAGTCCACAGCCAAGCAGTGGAGGGACAATTGGGCCAGCGCTTCCAGTGATGCCGGAGGGAGGAGGTGGCATCCTGAGCTGTGTGACGATGCCCCTGGGGCAGAAATGGGCAGCGGAGACTCCCTCAGCTCACCCGAGGCACCGGGACACCTTGGGTTTTACAGGAGGACCGTTGGGCAGCTGTCATCCGTGTCTCTGAGACTCGGCAGGCAGCAACGCTTTCTTCTGGCGTAGCTTGTCTTCTGGGGAAGGCAGTGCGTCCTGGTGCTACATGTTTAATAGTTACAGTTTAATAGTTCCCCCCCCCAAATGTGCTAAGATATTTTGTGTAAGATAGGTATTATTCAGTATTATAGGTTTTAAGTGTCTGTAGAGTTTATATATCCTGAAATTTTCATTTTCCTTTGTTTTTTCATTTTTTAAATTAAATTTATGGGGGTGGCGGTGGTCGATGAGGTCCTATGGGTTTCCAGTGTTCGTTTCCATGACACATGATCTGTACATTGCACTGGGTGCCCACCGCCCACAGTCACATCCTCTTCCGTCTCCAGATTCGGCTCCTTTCCCTTCACTCCCTGCCCCTCCCTCAGGCGACCGTCACACTGTTGTCTGTGTCTGTGAGTTTCAGTTTTGTACCCACACGTGAGTGAGATCGTATGGTTCTCAGCTCCCTCCGACTTACTTCGCCGAGCACGCTGCGTCCTTTCTGATGGCTGAGTGGTGCTCTGCCGCGCACTTGACGCTCCGCATCACCTTGGCCCCGCCCTCCACGCACGGGCACCGTGCCGCCTCCGTGTGTCGGCCACCATGACTGATGCCGCAGTGCACAGTGCGTGTGTCTGCGAAGACGTGTTCTGGAGCAGATGCCCAGAAGAGGGGCTGCTGTGTCCCATGGGAACTCTGTCCCCGCATTTTGAGGAACCTGCTTACTGTTTTGAGGAACAGCGTCCGCACCAGCCTGCGCCCCCACGAGCAGCGAGTGAGGCTCCTTTTCCTCCGCAGCCTGTCAGACACTTGCTGTTGTTCCCTGTCTTACTGGTAATGGCCGTTCTGACAGGTGCGAGGTGGGGTCTCGCTGTGGTTTAGATTTGCGTTTCCCTAACAGACTGAAGTCGAGCATCTTTTCACGTACCTGTTGGCTGTTTGTACGTCTGCTTGGGAGAAGCGTCTGTTCAGGTCCTCTCCCCATTTCGTTGGATTGTTTGTTTGGTGTGGATTTGTAGCAGTTCTTTATGCATTGGATATTAACCCTTTGTTGTTGGAGCTATTGTTTGCAAATACCTTTTCCCTTTCGATTGGTTGCCTTATGTCGAATTTTTTAAGCCTTCAGCTTTATTATTCTAAGTATGACATTTCTAATATATTTAGGTTTCCTCCTTTAGGTAATTTTTAGGTTCCTGTCCATAATTTTTTAAGTGGTGGTAAAATTATACACAACATAAAACACATTCACATTTACCACCCACACCGCATTCAGACGTGCGGTTCAGTGGGACCGATACACGTGCACGGTGCCTCCGCCTCCACCACCGTCCACGGACCGAGTCCTCGCCCCGGTGCGAGGCCTGTGCCCCTGCAGCCTGGCAGAGCTGCTTCCTTTCTGAGGCTGAATAACACTCGTGTGGACCGACCGCATTCGCTCCTCTGCGCACCCGCGGAGAGATGTCACCTCACGGCTACTGGGAATGGTGCCGCGGTGAGCATCGGTGCACAAGTGCCCTTCTGTGTCACACAGACCCACGTGGCTGTTGTGGAACAGGAGCTTGGTTTGTTAGCTGTGATTCGAGATGAGCGAGGGGCCCCTCGGTGGAGCGGTCAGGGTGCCATCGTGACTCTGAGTGGGTCGCAGCTTCCTGTTCCCCAGATTCCTCTGTGACTGGCAAGAAGTTACAATTTCACTGTATCGTGGGTAAGGCCAGTAAGAGTTTTATGAGCCAAATAGAGTTTTAGTGGCTTTTTAATTTGGTGTTATTACTATTTAAAACTGCTAAGTTGGGGTAATGGTGCTTGATAGTGTTTTCCCCTTTCATGCTTTTCTCCACATTTCCGCTCCATTCAGTGAGCACGTATTACTTTACAATCAGAAAATATTTTAAAACCTAACTTAAGTTGAAAAAATTGCTACCTTGAATCTCTCTTTTATTTCAGTCGTGGCCTACGTATGAGGATATCTATAAACACATGGTTGAAGTGGCCGTGTTTTTAGATCTGCCCCGTTTCCCAGACATCACCGAAGACTGTTATCTCCACCCAAACGTGCTGTGTGTGAAATACCTGATGGAAGCCAATCTCCCTGGTAAGCGAGTGGGGTTGGTCTTGAGGAAGCTTTTACCGACTCTGGTCCCACTGAGCCGAACGTGGAGCCCTCCCAGGTCACGGTCTGGCAGGGCCACCTGGCGAGGCCGTGGGGCCGCGGGGCCCAGTCGTGCAGCTTCCTTGGGCATCTCAGACCAGTCACAGCAACGGGGGCGCTGGTCGGAATCCAGGGGCTCTGTGTCGGGGGCAGGGCCGTGCGTGAGGGCCTGCGTTTGGTTCTTGCACTGCGTTGGCTGAGAGCAGGGAACAGACGTCCGGTGTGGCGTCAGCGGCCCCGGTGCAATGCACCCCCAAAGCAGCGCTTCCTCATTCACACGAATCGCGATTGTTATGCAGTGAGTTCTAGCTTTTTAAAATCCCAGAAGCTAATTTATGGCAACATTTTTATTGTTGGGAAACATGATGCTATTCCCAGCCCCCAACACGATGGAGGTCACAGTCTGGTGGGGTCACGTGAACCCAGAAGGTGGCGAAGGGGAACGAGGCGGGAGCCCCGAAGCCCGCGCTCCCCGTGTGCTGGGCACGGGCCACCGGGCCACCTGCCGGCGGAAGCCGCTCTTGAATTTCTTGCCAAACTAGAAGTGTAAGAAGTTCAGGACTTTCATTTTTAAGAGAAAATACAAACATTGTGTGACTTTACTATTGCTTAAGCAATATAAAAAATGTGATTGAATGTATTTTTAATAGAAAAGGAGACACGTGAGAAAAGCAGTACGTAAAACTGTACAGTGTAATTTTAACTATAAAATAAATACAAATATGTAGTATTTTTACATGTAAAGTATGTAGTAGTTTTGTAGTAGTTTTACACATGTAAACACGAAGTCTGTAATTTAAGGAACAGAAACATTTCAAACTTTCAAAATGTATTTACTGAGCTAAGGAATGTGTGTCCCCTCCAGATGTTTCAGAAGTCGCTCTCTCTCTGATTAAGATTCCAGAGTTTGGGGAGGCAGGTTTCGACGTTTGACATGCTACGTAGACCAGAATGGCTGTTTTCGATTTTGCTTCTTTAAATGTACTTCCTTGATGGTTCTTTCGAGTACAGAAAATTCCTGTGTTCTCCCCTGTACTCCCAAATCTCGAACTCATAAAGGCAGTGGGAGACGCGGCAGGGACTCCAGCGTGCACCCCGAACGGCTGGGCTGCGGCGGCGGCCGCCCTGGGGCCGTGCGGGCAGGGCGGCGGCCGAGTTCTCTGGCCCACGGGTGGTGTTTGGCACTGTCTCCCACCTGCCTGTCCCTGAGAGTGACAGGGAGCATCAGAGGTGCCACAGCAGGCTGAGCGACATCACTCTCATCTGCTGTTTAGTAAGTGCCTCTTTGGAAACAGTGTTATAAAGAGTCGAGGGACAGAAATTTTACTTCTCACAAACAGATCAATAGAAAACAATGTAGATATACATGTTATTGACCTAATTTATAACACTAAAAAATCAGAAACAACTTAAAAATCAACTTAGAAATCTAACAGAAAGGAAACGGTTAAGCACACGCTGGTAGGTACATCCAGTGAGACAGGACCTAGCTCTAAAAGTCACGTTCGTGAAGAGTTCAGAAGAGCACGGAAGATGTTTGTCACAACAAAGAGTGAAGTAAGCCCGATTGCAAAAATACGTAACAGAACCGCAGCTACACAGATGGGAATGCTCATAAAAACAAAAGGAGGTCCACCGGAATGTTAAAGTGGCTCTTCTGAGTTGTGGTAGTGCATTCCTTCCTTCCTTCTCCCTCTGTGTCTTGTGCGCGTCCTGTACTGAGGTGGTGTTAATAGTGGGGGGACAGCAGACACAATAGCTCTGCACATCCCTGCACCTTCGATTTCGATTCTGAAATGTGACGTTGGTTGGCACACCACCCACGAGATCACGGGGCCGCCCCCAGGGCGTCAGTGTTTTCGCGTGTGCAGACCCCGCTGTCTGCAGTGTCCCTGGCACTTTCACAGCCTCCCCAGGGTCCCCAGAAAGCTGAGAGTAGTTGTAAACACGCTGTGGCAACACACGCCCCTCCCCAGAGCCTCTGTGTGTCCATGTGGCCTTTGGAGCTGGGAAGGCGTCACCCAGCGTGGCACCCACGCCCCTCTGAGCAAGCAGTGACCCCTCGAAGGCTTCGAAGGAGCCCCGGCTGCGTTTGCTACTCTGCTCGTCCCGGGACCGGTGAGCCCGCCAGAGAGGTTCTGGCGGCTTTCACGGTCGTGCACGGGCGTCACTCGTGGGGAACTTGAGCTTCCCACAGTGCTCCCATGTGTGTCCCCCCGTGCACAGAGGAGACACAGCAAGGCCCAGCGACACCTCACTGGCCGGTGGCGGAGCGCAGGCTGCAGCCCAGCCCTCACATCCCAGAGCCCGCACCCCCACCCCGCACCCCACACCCCGCACCCCACACCCCGCAGTCTGCCGTCTCCTCTTCCTTTCTCATGATTCCTTCCACTTGCTTTTTTCTTATTACTCCATACTTTTGTGTAAGAGAAGCAGTTCAAGATGTTAATTTAAAAGAAATAGAGGAGACAGTTTTCAAGACATGCCATTCATTATTTATGACAGCCATACCGTGGTTTCCATTTTTCCTGCTCCGCGAAGAGACTGGCTTCTGTGCCCCAGTACGAAATCCACGAAACCCCAGCGTGTGTCCCACAGTGAACCTTGTCCGTGTCTCACGGGTGTGCGTGTGTCGGAAGCAGGAGCTCTGCCTCGTTGCCCTTTTCCCTTCCCTCCTCCGCAGCGGTGCTGTCTGCGCAGTGGGCACCTGTGCTCCGGAAGTGCTGTTGAATTGAGCTTAATGTATCTCCTGATCGTTTTGCACTTGAATGAAGCCCATGAATATTCCGATGAATCTGGAAGTTGAAATAATCCTAACAATAATAAGTCCCAGCCCTCTGCCCCCCCAGCCTCTCATGAGGGGGCGTGCCCACCGCTCCACAGCCGGCCCCAGAGCCTGTGCGGGCTGTTGGCAGCCCCCAGAGCGCCAGCCAGTCTTCGACCCAGTCCTGACCGAACTGACCTGGTTATTTAAATGTTATGAAGGGGGAGCCCCTGGAGGGCGGGGGCTGTGTCTTTTCCCCCCGTACCCAGAACACAGTAGTTACTCGTTACGCATTTTTGGAAAGTGTAAAGGCCGAGTCAAAACTTAAGTTATTAAAACTCAGTAGATGTATAAAAATACTTTGGTGCCTATTTTGAATTGTTATATATGTTTTATCCCTGTGGAAACAAAGCATTTTTTAATCAGTGGAATTTTTTACTTAAACATATAGAAGACACTTGTTTTGTATTTTACTCATTCTTCACCATAAATAGGTAGGTCGCTGCAGTCAGGAAGACAAACAAGACCAAGTCTCCCTCAAGTCGAAGAGGGAGACAGAGAGGCGGACCCCTAGCTGGGTGGCGGGGGTGGGTGCCAGAGAGCTGTGCCCGCCCACGATGGGAAGGGGGCTGAGCAGGGAAGCCTGCCGGCCTTCTGTGCGGGGCGGCTGCCCTGGAAAGCAGTGCCTCCTGCGCCGAGTTCTGTCCCCATTGAGAAGCCACCCAACCAAGCTTGGGATGAGCGACGGGGAAATAAATCGTCTTCTGGGCAGCGGGGCGAAGTGGCTGTGTGCAGCGGAGAGGCTGGTCAGCACGGGGCTTGCTAGGGGACCGGCAGGGGTCTGTTCAGGCTGCAGGCTAAGTCCGCATGGGTCGGCAAGAGCCACGCGGTGAGACAGTTGTATCACCCATGGGTGGATGGGAGCTCCGTCGGCAGAATAGCTCCCAGGTGGCAAGGCCCGGATCTGCACACTCCAGGTGCAGACATTCCTCGAGTCTCCATGGTGGGTAGGCACCGCTGTGGTTCCTGCTCCATTCAGGTGAAGAAAGCTGCAGCCCGGATGGGGCGAGCAGCCCACACGGGGCTCAGGGCTGGTCTGGGACTTGGCTCCCTGGTCCCCTCTAACCCCTGTGCTGTGTGCACTGAGGGAGCAGTGTGCGGAGCGAGGTGACCAGGTGCGTGCAGGAGATTCAGTCGAATACGGTACAGTTGATGTTGCACCCAGAGTCATAGCTCTTCTACTCGAAATGAATGAATGTTCAGTACTTAGATTAGTGAGTAAAGAAATTTGTGTAGGAATTGGAGTTTTCAATGTATATTCTCTCATAATATCCTATTGAATCTTATTTACCCTTATTTCCTCAACTGTAACTCATTTGACAAATGAAGAAGCTGAGGTTAAGTGACTCTAATCCAGAATCACAAAAATCGGGATTGTGAACCCTAAGTAGCGGCCCTGAGTTTTCTGGTTCCGAGTCCACAGTATTTAGATTGCACGTCCACAGACCCAGCCTCTGCCAAGCACATGATTCCTCGGAAAAGCTGTACCTCCAGCCTTGTCAAGGTCCCGGCACCCGTGTTCTTTGGTGTGCGGTAGAAAACCACGCGTGTCTCTGGGTTCTAGCGTGGTAGGTGCTTCCAGCTGCAGACTGTCTTAGGGATGTACACTCCAGTTAGCCAACGAGTTTCTTTCATGTTTTACTGTTTCACTTCTTCTTCAACAGATGAAATGTACAACTTCACCTGCCAGGTGGTAAAAATGGCTGGAATAGGAGAAGTGGATTTTCTGACATTTGATCCTATAGCTAAAAAGAAAAACACCGTTAAATATGATATTCAAGCCATGGCTGTCATTGTAATAGTGTTGAAACTGCTCTTTTTATTGGATGACAATTTAGAATGGTAAGTGTGTATCAGTTTTATGAGGAAAAAATTGTTCCGTCTTTACCTAATTGTTCAGAGTGAGGGAGTCCGTGTGTTTTCTCAGTAGAGAGCGGAGACGCTCAGAACACTGACTGGCAGCAGTGATTACTTCTTACGTAATCTTTTGACTCAGCTAGTTGGCAGAGTTCATTCTACCTCAGTCAGTGGTTTGTATCATGTTTTATTTCTGTTTGTTGAGTAGATACACGTTTCTCATCGTTCCATTGATTCCTGAGTTTTCAGTTACCCACAAACCCTAAAGAATTAGCACTTTCTGTGTGCCTCTAGGCTCCTGGCACTGTGTGTCCCGAAGAATATTTTGGAAAATAAAGGAATTTTAAACTATTACCCGCCCCAAATACCAACAGAGAGCACCAGTACTTACGGTGTCTCCTTCCTGTCTCAGCGGTCGCTTCTCTGTTGAAGAGCCCACCAGTCTCAAGGAGTGTTACATATGCCTCTTTGAGAAGAATTCACAATTTTACTGTCTTCAAGTAGGTGACTTCTAAGTGCATTGACTTGTTTATCGGTATCTCCAGGTCTTTGTCTGCCGCTGCTGAGAAATATAATGAAGAGAACAAGGAAGGTACCTAAATTTTTATCAGTCAAATGTAAAGATAATGAATGTATTAAAGGGGGCCATAAATGTAGGGAAGAAACTTTGAAAATATACACATACACATATACACGTACATGTATATAAATTATACCTTGTACCAGGATTATTTTTTCATGCACTTACCCAATGGCGTTTCCAGGCTACTGAAAAACTTCGGTGACCCCCACTGTGCGTGGGGCCAGCCTGCTTTGTTACTCCTGGCGCCTACCCGCTCACCACACTAGACCACGCACTTAGCGGGCGGTCTCGCGGCTCTGCCGTCGGCTGTCAGGCCTCCGACCTTTGGCACACTGGCTCTGCCACCTGAAGTCCTCCTTCCTTCCTGCCCCCCACTCTCCAGTCCTGGCAGATCCGTCTTCATGCTTCACGATGCAACAGGAACACCTTGGCGTCACACCGACGCCCAACCCCCTTCTTCCGGATCAGGACTGATCGCTCCTGCCACAGCCCCCCTGTCCCGTTGTCTAGTAGACGGTGTGGCACGTGGAGTTGCGGCCAGTGGACGTCTCTGCTGGAGAGCCAGCGTCTGGGGGGTGCGCGGAAGAGAAGAGACGGGCAGTTAGCCGTCCCGCCGTCCTCCCGCAGCCCTCCTTCCCTCTGCCTGCTCACTCTGGGCCTCCTTCCCGCTCTCCCTTTCATTCCCTTGTCCTCTCCCCACTCTTCCGCCTCCCGTGGAGAGGGAGTCGGGACTGCCGGACCGCGTGCCACTCCGCGGTCTCTCGCCTGGACTTCTGGAACCCCCCACCCCCACCCCTGTCCCATCAACGCACTCGCTCACCTACCGCTAGGAGCTCTGGGCTTGGATTAGGGCTGGGAAGACCAGGAGCAGGAGCTGACCGAACTGGAAGTCTGGACTCAGCTACTGTGGTGCCGCTTCCCACGTTTCTTTTGTTTTTTTAATTTTTAAAAGTTTTTATTTATTTATTTTTAGAGAGAAGGGAAGGGAAGGAGAAAGAGAGGGAGAGAAACATCCATGTGTGGTTGCCTCTCACATGCCCCCTACTGGGGGTGTGGCCTGCAGCCCAGGCGTGTGCCCCGACTGGGAATCGAACTGGTGACCCTTTGGTTCCCAGCCTGTGCTCAATCCACTGAGCCACACCAGCCAGGGCAACATTTCTTAATCATTTGTTCCTTCCTTCATGCTGTCCCACACGTCGACATGTGGGAGCATGTGAGCCGGGTTCCAGGCCAGGCGCAGGCTGGGAGGCAGAGGCCCGACTGTGTTGTGACAGACAGCACGTGTCTCCTATCCCAAGGAGGTAATCGGCCTTGGAGAGACACGCACACAAAGGCAGTTTCGGTGGGACCTGCCTAGGGCCGTGGTATCAGTGGATACTCGGAGGGGGGAGTGACCGATTTCTCAGGAGTCATATCAGAGGCCGGCGACAGCCCTTCCATAATTTCCGGGACCTGTTACGTAAACGTTCAGTTGCGTTGGTGAACGAGGGTTCTCATGAACAGTGTACATTATTATCATGTGACCAATTTGGCCAATGATTGTGAGTTTTCTTTCTTTCTTTTTTTTTTTTTCAGATAAGCCATGGTTTGATTTCAGAAAATGGTACCAAGTCATGAAGAAATCTTTTGATGAGAAAAAGCAAAAATGGCAGGAAGCCAGGGCAAAGTACGTCACCTCTTTCAGTGTTCGGTTCGCCAACTCATCTCCGAGTCCGTTACTCTGCATGTGAAGGCTGAGGTCTCATCAGTACAAACTCCTCAGCATTGTGACACTTTATTCTAGAAATATTAGCCTCTGTATTCTAAGTAACTTTTTTACTTAATGGGAATGTTCTCCCAAAACAAAGATCCCTGCAATAATCAAAACGAAGGACAGCAGAGAGAGTATGTGTGATGTGGCCAGTCCCGTGTTTGACAGAGTGGGACCCGTTCCGATGTGGGCCCGTGGACCCATTGGGGACGTGCAGCAGCCCCAGAGGCTGTCACTCATGACCCACGCAAGGTCAGGCCACTGGAGGCGGGAGGGCCAGGCCCTCTGGCTTGGCTGCTGCACTGCCTCTCGAAATCAGAATGGGCCCTCGGGTCACGGAGGAGGCAGTTCTTATTTTTTACCATATGTTCGGAAAATCCCCCGCTTTGGGGAACTCAGAGTTAATGACAATGGGACTGAAAATGATCGCTGAGCATGCCCTTGGCTCCAGAGCAGCAGTCTTCTTGGCAGCGTTTCTCGTTGTAGTTTGGAACTAGAAATAGCGCCTGTCAGTCCGCCTTTGGCCCGATTGTAGGCTGGTGGCCCCCGTCGGGAGGAGCCCCAGGTGACTCTTGGGGTTTGCTCCAGAGGGGTGTTCGCAGATCAGCGCAGCATCTCCACGGTGCGGTGGGGCCCCCGGGCTGGGCTGCCCCAGGTCAGGACCGGGTCATGCCGGAATCCCTGTCTTTCCTCTTTCCACCAGTGACAGAATTGACTTCCAGGTGTTCATTTGGTGACAGGAGACTGGCACTCCCTGGTCACTGTCTGCTTATCAGAATCAGAAGAACCACTAACCTAACGTCTCAGCCAAAGGGAGGCTGGGCAAGGGCCACGGCAAACTGCTGTTCGTCGGTGGCTGCACTCGGTGAGAACAGGCAGCAGGAGAGCTTCCTGGGGAGCCTGTGCTACGTTCTCTGTGCAGTTACCAGCCTCTTCAGGGACTCGTGGCATCGGGAGGCTCTCGGAGGACACAGGGCCCCACCGGCTTGTTCTCTGCTTCGGTGCTGCAGGCGCAGCACCAGGGCGGACGCTCCCTGGGCGCGTCACCAGGCCGCTCTGAGCCGGAACTCTCACCCTGTGTTTCGGCGGTTTCAGCCCTTCAGGGAAACTTCTCCGAGATTCTCTCTGAGGTCAGTTTCTTCTCAGCCTGCTCCAACTGTGTTTCTGCCTCCTACAGGTACGTGTGGAAAAGCGAGAAGCCGCTCTACCACTCCTCCATCGACAGATCGGTGGCGTTTAAAAGAAGGGGTGAGTTGCGTTTTCTCTCGTTTAGCTAGCTGTCAGAGTTTAGCATCAGGTTTTATTTCATGCCTCCCTGCCGCCTCCGTTTCCAGAAATGGTGGTCAGTCTGCAAAAGCAGTTTAGTGCATTGGCTGACTCGACACCAACTGTCGCCAAAAAAAGCCCTTCGAGTTTTCAGTTCAACTGGACGGGAGACGCGGATGGGCCTTGTTTCCACGGACACAGCCTCCAGGGGGCCCTGGAGAAGAGGGGCCGGTCACAGTCGCTGACGACCAGGAACGCCCTGTACTGGCTGAGCACACAGAAGTTCTGTAAAAGGTACACGCCACGGGCGGACGTCGGAGGGCGGGAAACGGGGCCGACGCCCCGGGGTGCCCCTCAGTAGTGGTCTTTTCTAATTAAAAAAAACTCACGCATAATTTAAAGGAGTTGGCTACAGCGAGAACCAGCCAGGTTGTTGGGAATGGGAGAATGTGGGCTTATAGTCAAGAAAATCGGAATTATATATCGAGTCTCGTTTAGGAGCTTTAGGGATGGAGACGTCTCGTTGTGATAAACATTTCACAGTCTGTGAACGCATCGATTCGTCACACTGTACACGGAAAACCTGTGTGTCGACAACATCCCAGGAAAGCCGGGGGAGGTGTTAGAGTACCAAGACTCTCCTTGTTGTGAGAAGTCTCTCTTCACTGATCTCGTTCCCATGCTGACACCACACTCGTCTGGGAGCCCTTTGCTGTGGCAGGTCGGAGGGTGCATGGACGTTCCCGGCTGTTCAGATCCCAGCTCCGCCGCTTGCTGGTTGCAGGCAAGGCATTTGCCGGCTCTGCCACTCCGCCGCGCTCGCTGTAAAACGGGGTGTCGTGCTGCCCTTTCTCCCTCTCCCCGCCTCCAGGGGCTCCCGTCTCTTTCGGAGGAGAGCCCACCAGCCCCTGCGATTCTCTGGCCTTGACAACCAGGCCTCCCTGTGCCGCTGCCCCGTCCGCGTCGGCCTCCTAGCGGTTCCTTGAGTTTGCCGTGCGCACGCCCCATGCGGGCCTTTGCGTGTGCTGTGCCTCCCCTGTGTACCCACACGGGCTCGCTTCTGTCGGGTTTCGCTCAAGTTTCACTTCCTCCAAGGGGCCTTTCGTAACATCCCCCCTCCTGCCCAACGCACCTCGTCACTCTCTACCTGCCTTGCCGATTTTCTTGTTTCTTATAGCTTTTGTCACTATTGAATGTGTTACAGTATCTCATATTTATTTTGCATCTTTGCCTTCTCACACTGGAACCTAAGGTCCTTTAGCCGGGACTCAGTCTTACTTACTGAAAAATCCCAGAGGCTGGAACAGGGCCCGGCTGCTCACCAAGTATTTGTTGAATGAATGAATGAAAACTGGAAGCCGCACCATGGGTTTCCTATGAGAGTTAAAGGAGATATTTGGTGTCTGTCACCTAGTAAATACTCAGCAAATGATAACCATGATCGTTATGATTACTTTAATCAGAACTAAGTTTGTATTGTAACATCATTTTACTGCCTGAGTGTGCATCAAGGTAATGAGATGCAGATGATAAAGCGAAGCACCTGTGCTAAGATGAACTGCTCAGCAGAGCTGAGCCGAGTCTGGACGGGTTAAGGAGTGGGGCTGACTCAACAGCAGCAGCGACCAAAGGCCAGGTCCCAGCCCAAAGCGGGCGCCGTGGTGGAGGGCCCCGTTCCTTTGCGGGGGTCCATGTCACAGCTTTCCCGGGTTGTAAGGCCTCGTGGTAGTCCTGGCCAGTGTGGAGTATGCACAAGACTGTGCTGCTGGTCTCTGCCCCATCTGGGTCCATGGTCGGCCCTGTGAGGTAGCAGGACCTCACCCCCGTGTGCCTTTCACATGGCGCTGAGCGAAAGCCTGTAGGAGGCTTCAGATCTGGGGCAGAGCTAATGATCTTCGTAAACGTAACTACCTTACCCCCATCTGTACGCAGGCCAGTTACTGACAGTTAGGTCCAGAGGCCTGCCGTGGGCTCTGGCTGATGGGGAGTCCAGCCTCAAGCCCCTGAGAGGGGAGGCCGAGCACCTGTCCTCCCACAGGATGGGACTCAGCAGGGTCTTCCAGGTTTTCTTCATGGGAGGGGGGGGGCTTGGGGTGGCCCACAGAAAGGCGATTTGAAAATTTGAGGATTTATACTTAACTGATGTTTTAAACTATAGTAAAAAAACAATAAACAATACTCAAATATGTTGGGCGCCCAATTGGAACACACTCGAGACCACCGAACACTCACCTGTGTCCCCGGGGCTGTTTATTTGCATGTGGTGCGGACTTTGGACGGTTCCCTTCGCACGCATCGGCCTTCTCCTGAGGACAGTTGTGCCCGGCACCGCCCCCGCCTGAATCGCAGGCCTGCGCTTACCCTGCTACCTGCAGTATTCACGCCGCATCCCACCTGCGGCGTTGGCCAAACACATTCACAGCGCATCCTTCGGTCAAGGAAGGTCGCTTGGCCCACGCTCTACTCCTGGCAGAGTAGTAGGTGGTAGAAACCTCCCCATAACTCAGGAGTAGCTTTCTGAGCTTATGGTGAACAGCGTAATCTTCACACGGTGTCATGAGTGACGCGGCCCCGAAATGGAAGGCCCACTGCGGTGGACAGTTTGTGAACCTCTCCTCACCTTTGTGCTGTGGCAGCAGGGCTTCCCATGTGGTCTCCAGGCAGAGGGGCAGCACTGCTACCCTTGCTGTGCAAGGAACTCTCTTAAAATTGCTGAAATTAGAAGAGAAGAAAAGCAAGAGACCACCGTGTTTGTGGGGTTCCCGGCTCAGTAGCTTGTGTGTCATCTCTGTTAGGTCGGTCCTTGGACAGACCACCGAGGCTTTTCGGTTTCCTGCTGCTGAACATAGTAGGGCATTGGCCTGGTTGTGTGTTATAAAAGTCGCTTCAGGACTGAAAGTGAAAACCAAAAGTCAGTTTTAAAGGAGTGTAAGGGAGGTGTGCATTTCGGAGCCTTGCTGTGTGCTGTGTGAAGTCCCTCTTACCCATCACACTCCCCCCCCCCTTCCTGCTTTGCAGACAAGGGGTTAGCCGTCCTCAGAACCGAGGGGCAGCAGGGTTTTATAGAGCAAATAGAAAAATTCAGGAATTCAGGGCCACATTGTTACAGAAATCATATCTAAAAGTCTGTGTTCTCTGTCTGTTGCCTGCTTGTTTTTTTAACTTTTTACTATGGGAAATGTCAAGTTTATTCCAAAGTAGAGGGAACAGGAGGCTCCTGTCACTCAGCCCCAGCGATCGTCAGCCAGGCTGGGCTTCCCGCACCAGTGGCCGGACTCAGGCCCACGCCCCAGGCCCCCCCCCCCACCCCCGGACTGTTTGGAAGTGAATTCCCAACAGCAAAATATTTTTAAAGCCAAACCATAATGCCATTAGTTAGACACACAAAAAGATCCTAATAAGAATTCCTTAATATTACCTAACATGCAGTCACTTTTTAGGTTTTCCTGATTGTTGTATATTCTTTAAAATAACTCGGAATCCAAATGAGATCCATACATTGTCTGGGGCTGAGTTCATAAATTCCTCCTTTATCTCCTTTTTTCCACTTGCAATTTACTTGTTGAGTCACCCAGGCCTTGTGTTCTATACAATCTCCCAAACCCTCCAGTTTGATATCACAGGGCCGTAAACCGTTTAAAGTTCCTCTATCCAGTGGATTGCCTCTACTCGGTGTAGTTAGAGTCAGTCACAGACTGACAATTAGAAGTAGGGATTTGGTGATAGAGATTTGATTAGATTCAGGTTCTGCTTTACGAGAAATGAAACTGCTTTCTAAACTCTTCTTCCTATAGTATATATAGGATTGGAATGTGATACAGGGTCAAATCGGGTGTCTTATTTTGGGTGAGGGTTGGGGAGTATTTGTTTTCTTTTGTTGGCTTTAAAAATAGGTCCAGAAGCTCTGCCGGTGTGCCTCTGTTTGCCTGCGTCATGGCGAGAGGTGGGGTTCGCCCGAGGGGCGGGGCCTCCGGGCCCGGGGCGGGGCCTCCGGGCCGGGGGCTGTGAGACCCGGCTCCAGTACCGCCTTTGTGTCTGTCTCCTGCGTGGTGACCAGGGGCCAGGCTAAAGCTTTCTCCTTTGTAAAATTAGGGATTTTTACCAAATTATTCTAAGTTTCCTTTCAGCTCAGATTACTATGTTTAGCCTAAATATGTGTACTTGTCCAGTTATTTGAGAGCTGTTCAAAGGAGAGACCATACTCTTCTAGGGGGCCACTTAAACCTAACATCTTCCTTTTTTTTCTTCCCTTCCAGCTATTGTAAACACGTGACAACCTATGAAGAATCAAACTTTTCTCTGAGTTATCAGTTTATACTAAATCTCTTCTCCTTCCTGCTAAGAATAAATGCCTACTTCCTCCATGAAGAAGTGAGCTTAATTGAAAAGAGACTTTTTAAAACAAAATACAGTAAAGCAAAAAAGAAATCTTCAAGATCCAGGAAAGTGAGAAAATGAGAAAAATAAAATAGAAACTTTCTTGGGAAAATATTTTATTAGTAACAGTACTGTCAAATTGTAATACAGCATTCCAGAGAATTATGGAAAATAGAATTTTTTGCATATATACCCATGTGTAGAGAGACATGCAACATATATTACATATGGAGATTGTGCTTATAAAATGTATATTGGAAAACAAACGAGCTTTGAATGCATTTTTTAAATTATAAATATTCTTTGAGAAAATTAAAACAACAGTGTTATATAAGTGGTAAATTTATCTAAATTTGTGTTCATTGTAATCTGTGCTCATTGTAATGTAGACCTAAGTTTTCTTTTTAAACTAGATCACTTCTTGCTCTTTATGCCCCAAAGTAAGTCCCAGATGACTCAAAGATCAAAACACTATAATCTTTCACAAGTATCACAAGAGAGCAGGTATGAACGCTTTGATGATCTTACAGCAGAGAGGGACTTCTTAGGCATTCCTGAAAACCCAAAGCCAAAAGGAAAAGATTGATACTGTGACTACGAAGTCAAAGGTAGATGAGAAACTGGAAAAGGACATGTATCATTTGGTGGACGAAGGAATAATTTCCATGATGGATCAGTAGCTCTTTAAAAGCGATAGGAAAATCACAGGCTGAGCAAGAGATAGGAAAAGATAGCTTTTGGAAAAGAGGAAATACAAAGCCCAAGCAAAAAAAAACTTAAGAGACTCCATCTCACCCAAATTAAAGAAACGCAGACCGAAAGAGCCATGACGTCCCACGTGCCTGACCGGCAAAGATTTTGGAGGCTTATAATGCCCGCAGGGGCTATTAGGAAAGCAGGCATTTTCCTTCCGTTGGCCTACTCACGCAGCACACGCTAACTGATCCGCGTCTGCGTTCCGACCCGATCCGACACCGCAGACGCGCCGGAGATAGGCCGTGAACTAGACCCCTGCCTCTGAGGATCCCGTGATCGGGCGGGGACCCACCGGAATCAAATACGAAGTGCTTGGAACGAAGTGCAACGAAAAATCAGAAAAGTAAGGGGTACGCGATGGGGCGGCCTTGTGGTGACCTTTCCAAGCCATTGGAAACTTAAAACATGCGACACGAACAGACCGCCAGGGTGGAGCGGCAGCCTTGGCGGAGGCTGGGCTGCGCGGGTGCCCGCGGGGTCGCGCTGCGGCGCCAGTGCTCGGGCGCAGACAGGGGTGGCAGCAGACTATCCCGCCCCGGGCGCTACTTCAGTCGGTAGGGACGCGGTCTGACATGGGGGTGGACGCCACTGGGACTCTAAACTGGCGATAAAGACGGTTGAAGCCTCGGGGGAGCTAGAGTCGCACCCAATCCCGATAGGAGCCGAGCGGCTGAGTGCCGCACATACGCGCAGGCCGCAGGCGGAAGGGCCAGACACCGCCGGCGGGCACGCGGCTCCCGGCAGCCAGGTCCCTAAGAGGCGTCAAGGTGGCGGGCGGGGGTCACAAATGTCATTTCCTTTCGGGTGAGATCATACATTATTTTCCACTAGAATAACTTGTGGTATGTGTCGATTTGGGTGGAACCTACTTTAGGAACATTTAATTTTTTTTTAAATTAAATACCGCACTACCGCACAGAAACATAATTTCACCATTTAGGAGACCACCCTAAAGGGAAATAAAACCGAGTGAGAGTTCACGCGGTCCCAGACCAAGTAACTATTGTAACAGTGCGAAATCATACCTAGGGGCAGAGGGTCTGATACTTCTGGGGAAGAAAAAAAAAAGTCCTTAAATTGTCTTTCAGCGATTAGTCTAAGCACATAGTCGTGAAAATGTAGTGTGTCTGTGTAGAAATTTGAGTTGAATAGCACGGTGTCAGTGGTCTCAGTATCAAATTTGGATCATCCAAACGTACGAAACACAGCTGTGAAGCGTTTATTGCGCCCCTATCTTGTACAGAGCGTTGTATGGGCGTTCTCATTTGATATAGCCAGATAAACTCTACAACTGTAGCCACCCAAAGTTGAGTCACAGTAGGGTTAAAACATGAGCTTTAACATTTTTTAAATTAAAACAAATTAGTAAATGAACGAGAGTCTTTTCCCACAATACAGAACATTGGCCAAATGCTTCATTAATCTACAGGGATAGCTCATACATTTTAAACGTAGTTTTGTTGATTGGTTTTTTTTCCCCCTTTCTCTATATCCTTTAAAAAAATGCAGCTTTTTTTTAAGGCAGTTTGGGATTCTGTGTTAGATTTAAAAGCAAAGGGAGTATCCTCTACCTACCAGCCCTGGCCCCTTTCCCATCAGGCCAGGCAGCGCGATTATGGGATGTAGCGCTGGTGAGTTAGTAGGCGAAGAGGCATAGGTGCCTTATCTCCCTGTAGGGGTGGGGGGAGGGGGTGCAGGCTTGTCCTTGCTTCTCAGAACTGGAGCCTTTTCACACCCAAAGAAGGGAGGCGAGCCCAGGGCTGGGAGTGTGCCTATAGTTCTTTGTTGTCTGTTTGTCTGTTTGCTTGTTTGTTTGTTTGTTTGTTTGTTTTCTTCCAGCAGCACAAAGCCAGGGCGGGGGGGGGGGGGGATCAGTATTAATTCAACCCCATGCATAGTTACAGGGAGAAACATACTGCTTGAAGGAGTGAAGGAGCATTCTGTCAGAGTCTTAAGGAAAACCTCGAATAGAATTTGCAAAATGCGGCTGTAAACACTGGGCGAACCCTCGTGTTCCGCCAAGAGCGAAAAGTGTGTATTTTTACCTCGAGTAGGTAGCCAGGTGACATTTTGCATTTAAAATGCCTCTGCACCTTGAAAACTGAGTAAGTTCACACCGGATGAAGCCTCTCACAAAATGCTTTCAAGACCCTCGTGGTTGGTGTTCCCCGTGTTTGGGGTCCTTGCAGAGTATTTAAGTGTAAAGTGATTTCGGTGCCAGAGTTACCTGGTAATTCGCTAGGGCTTGAGAAGAGCTCACAAAAGAGCCCTTTTATTGACTTTGTGAATTAAGAACCTGGTATTTCAGCTCCCTTGGCCTCGAGCCCTTCTGCGACACTTATTTCCTTCTGGAACAATTAGTGCGGGTTTTATGGATATTTGCACTGAACTGGGTGACTCACAGGTATTCCCAAAGGAATTTTAAGTTAAAAAAAAATATCACTTCGGTGTAATTGCCTTTTATCACCATTGTCCTCCACGTTAATTCAGATCAGGTGATCCGGTTAAACATTACCTACAATGAAAAAGGTGGTCTCTGAGTTTTAAAACTCCCAAGGTGAACAAGAGGAAAAATGTGTTCTGAACCATAGTAGAAGTTAAAAAAACACTATGAAATATGTTCACTTATTTTTAACTTTCCTTAGAAATTCACACCAGAATAAAAGTCTCCCTGGGAAGGTGTCCTGTGCGTGGGGCCCCCTTGTCCTCGGGCAGCCTCCCTCGCAGGGCCCGGGGCAAGGGCCGGGGCCTCCTCTCCACTCCCCACGGTGCCGTCAGTCCTGCTGAAACACTGTTTGCATGTGTCCCCCCCCCCCCCCCGTCCTACTCCCCTCTGTCTGTCACAGACTTTCTCCAGGGACCTGCCTCGTCAGCACCAGGACCAGGGCAATGCTCCTCAACACTGCACAGGGACTCCCCTGGCCGCCCCTCCCCACCAAGGCTTGGGGATCTGAGTGGGCGGGGCGGCCTCAGAGCATGCCCTTTACCGCAGGGCACCCCCCACACCCACCCGCACGCACGGAGGGTGGGGCGCCCAGCTTCCCCTGCAGTCTGTCAATTCCCCGGCGTTCACGCCCGCCCCAGTTTCGTGTTTCCCGTGGACGGCCTCTGTCTGTGTCCTGTTGTCCTAACTTGCAGCAAGCCTCGGGGGCTGGGCTGCTTCCCATGGCCCCCGTGTAGAGCCCTACATCCAGCAGGTGTTCAAAGCTGTCTTTGATGACGGCAGTGGCGATAAAAAGGGGAAAATGACAAAAACCTCCCTACTTTTCCTATCAGTTACTGCAGGGTGATGATCGCTATTTAATGAATGAACTCATTCGTCTGCCTTCCAAATGTTGCTGTGATGATCACATCGGAGAGCTTTTAAAGCAGAGGGGGAAATGGGCATGATGTTCGCCCCTGGTGTACCTGTCGCCTCCCCAGGTACCTACACAGTGTGCCGGGCGCCCCTCCAAGCCCTGGACACAAATCGCCTCTTGTAATCCTCTGAATGGCCCCGCAATGTGTCACTTTATAAATAGACACCAAGCCCCTCTGATCCCAGGCGATCTAGTCCCCCGGCATCAGTGGTCTTCACCAGCTTGCAGCCTCTTGAAGGCCTGAACCTTTGAGGAAGAAGAAAACCTTAGCCTTTATGACTGCAGTGCACCCTCACCACACCCCCAAACCTCCACCCCAAACCTGTTTGTCCTCTACACCCCTCATTACAGCACCATTTGCCTAATCACCCAAGCTGTAAATCCCAGGCCCTCTCTAGCTGTCACCCCCAACGTCTCATCCGTCACTCACCCTGACAGTTCCACCACCAGGTGCTTCTTTGGCAGGTCTCCAGTCCTCCGTAGGCATCGTCACAGCCCAGCTCAGGCCCTTGTCACCTCCCTCCTGGTGGGTGGCAAGAGCTCTCTCCTTCCCAGGCATGTGTCCTGCCAGGGATTTTCCACAAACAGAGCTAATAGCACCGTGAGGCTCAAAATCCTTCTGCCACCGACAACAGCCAAGGGCTCGGCCTGGGAGGTCGCTTCCTGTACCCCTGTTCCCTCAGTCTCAGGCGGGGGGCTCCCAATTGAGCCAGGACATCTCAACCGCAGGGCCTTTGCCCATGTGGTAGGCTCAGTCAGAAATGCCCTCCCTCTTCTCAAGAGATCGCATATTCTCCCTCTGCGACCCTGGGTTTCCTCTCCTTCCTCACTTTGACCCCGACCCCCCCAGCTCCTCCAGGGTCCGACGGCAAGGGTGCTGCTGTGCACAGCCTCCAGGGCCAGCGCTTGCACACCAGGCCATGGTTCAGCCATGGGTGTGCACACACAGAGGCTGGGGGGCTAGATTTTGAGGTTCAGAAGCATGAGACCATATTTGAAAAACAGAATTCACAACAGGCAACATGCCAAAGGGGACATGTATCTATGGCCCCGTACACGTCTAATCTGCAGTAATGAGGTGTGTTAAACTCCCCGCGTGCATGGCTGGTCAGAAACGTCTCAGACCTCTCTCCTGGGCCTTTTCAGGGGGCTGCCTGTACGTCCCTTCTGCTTTGTGATGGATCAGAGACTTACTAACGAGCACTTGTGTGTGTGTGTGTGTGTGTG